AGCTGAGCGAGGCTCAGGTCAGTCTGTCTCCGTTCTGTTTGTGCTGATGAACACTGTGGCCCCCCGCCTCGATCTCTTTGCAATACAACCTCCTGGGTCTGTCTCGTGATTCGGGTGGTGGCAGGCACACCAGGGGGGGTCAGTCCCTGGACCTCCTTCCTCCTCCCCTCCCCGCCAAAGACCTCCTTAGGTACATTTGAAACAACGGGTGAGGAATAGCTAGGACTCTAGGTATTCTGCATCTGTTCCCTAGTAACAGTTCTGGAGCTTTGACCTAACGCATAAACCACTGACTTGTTTGTCTACATCCATCTAAACAGCTTTTATGGTTAGTCTGGATAACTGAACCGGTGTAATAAAGCGATGTTTGCTGGTGTGTTCTTTGGTACAATGTGTGCGTGCTCGTGGTTTCTCTCTCTTGTCTCCTCGCACATGGAATGTGTGTTGGTCTGAATTCCCCTCTGGTGGAAGGGCCGGCAGCTGCGTTGATGCTGCCCGTAATGGGTGCTGGGCCTTAAGGTAACAAACTTGTCCAGATTTCCAGAGAAATGGGTGTTACAGGCCCTTGCTCCACTGTTGTAACTCAGACACGCTTCTTGCAGTACATTTACAAGGGTGATCTTCCCGCTGTAAAGCAGACTTGGACTATGCACAGCGCTGCGTATCTTTGTAGTCTCAGTGCTTCCCTTACAGACTGATGGCTGGCATTGCAGGTGAGCTCTAATCATTACAATCTTGCCTGGCTTTAGGAATCCTTTTGTGATCATCTCCCGGAGAAGTACTCAAAAGCAGCCTCATATGGAGAAGATGAAAGGACAGCTGATGAGCCTCACTTCAGTTACATTTGGGGTGGCATAAGATGAGACCAACCCTATGGAGATGAAAGAGGCAGCAGTTTCCCACCTTTATACACATCTGTATCTCGCTGTGCATTTTCTTAATGTACCTTCATTGTCAGAAAGCTGGAATGAGATACCTTCCTCCTGTGGGGATGCCCTAGTATGTGTAGTGCAATTTACCAGAGGTAAGTTGCTGACTTTGGAAGGGGAAAATGCAGGGGAATGGTTGTGTGGGTGAGAAATGTGCTCAGCTAATGCTGTTGTGGGTGACTACTTTGAGGTGGTTTATTTTTTTTTTTTTTTTGTAAGTGGTTTCTCTTTGGTTTAGAGGCAGGCTAGCAGGGGATTTGACACTGCTCTGAGGTACGTGGTATTGATGGCCCGCAAGCCCACCTGTGCGGGCTGTTGCATTTGTTAAGGACGGATTTCGGGTGCTTCCAGGTTGTTAACAGTGGGGTGCTGGCCTCTGAGGAGTCCAGCTGCCCGCACGGGGAGCGCCCGTGCCCCACAGCCCAGGGAGCCCCTTCCTCACTCCCTTCCCCGTGTCCCCGCAGAGCCCCGTGCCGGCCCTGCGCCGCGGCCGGTCTGCACGCTGGGTGAAGGCTCAGGGGGAGGCGGCTGCTTCTGGGCACCTCGGGTTTAGTCAGCAATTAGCGTTACTTAATTGTGCCAGGCGCAAGTGCCCGCTGCCTGGGCTTACAGCAAAGCTCCGCGGGCTCGGGCAGTCAGAACGGCGCAGTGCAAGCAGGCTGTGCCTGCGGTCCCCGCAGCTCCGAGTGTCACCAATTTCGGGGTCCCTCTTGCCACCCTTTCCTCTCCCCCCAGTTGCTATTCCAGCTGCCTGTCCTGCAGCTGGAGGCAGCAATACCAGCCAGGGCTGCAGAAGACTCTCTGCTGTCTTTTTTTTTCCACCTGGCCTGTGACTTTGTGGTCCTGTTGCTGGCCTTAGGGCCTCTGTGATGTTTTTGGAGTCATGTTTCTGACACAGTATTGTCAGGAGCTTTTCCAGGAGTACTTGGACCAAGAATAAGCAGCTTTCCCGCATAGTGGCCTGGCTGAATGTGCCCAGAAGCAGAGACGGGCCAGTTAAAAAAAAAAAGGGGGGGGGGGGGGGGGGCAAAAATCCCACAAGGGCTGCATGCTGCTAGCTGAACTGCTTGTGTGCTGGTCATTAGAAGGGTTTATCAGTCTGCATCGCCGAGTTGCTGTTAATTATCCTCACAGTTACCTGAGGCCTGACCTAAGCACGAGGCTGATGACAAACTCATGCCATTTGTTAGCGATGGGAAACTGATGTTTAATAGATTGGCTGGTGGCTGCGTGAGGCTGGATAAAGCTTCTGGTGCCAAACTGGGGTCTCTGCGGGCCCCGAGCTGGAGCCCTGGGGTGGCCCCGCAAGAGGGTGCTGGTGTCCCGTCCCCTGGGAATGTCGCTTCCAGTCTGCTGCAGGTGAGCCTTGGCACCTGGGGCAGGCAGCCAGGGCTTTGCTCCTTTTCCAACTCGTTTTTACACACCCAGGGGAAGGGCTGCGTTTTGGAAAAGCCTGAGTCCCGGCTGGGCTGGGAAGCCCAGTGCCCGTGGAAAAGGACCCTTGCCCGCAGGGTGAGGCTCCTTTCCCACCCAGGCAGCATTTTGGGGTTAGGCTCAAAACTTGGTCTGTTTTCTCCCTGAAAATTCATTCCCTGCCAGGAAAATCAGGGGCCCATCTCCCAGTGCTGGCCCTGCTGCTGGACGGGGCGGCTGTTCCTGGGAGTTAAAGGTCTTCTGGAGTGTCACGCTGCTCTGTGGTCTTTGCTTGGGCTGCATGGGTTTTTCCCTCCCCCCCCCGCCCCTCAAAACTGCGATTATTCCGTTTTCTCCAGTTCAAACAGTGTGACTCCCTGGCTGTTGGAAATGCCGCCTTGCCCCCCTGGGACGGTGGTCTGGCATTCGAAGTGAGGTGGCTGAGAGCGGGGTGGTGAGAGGGGAAGCTCTCCATCGCTGGGGCACTGAGCTTTCGGGCTCCAAACTGCTGAAAGGGATTTTTGGGCCAAGTCCCGTGCGAAAATGCCGCGTGGGGGCTTTGAGAAGAGGCTTCGCTTTCTGCTGCGGCGAGGGAGAGGAGAACTGATGGGGTTTCTTTATGAAAAGGCAGAACCGAAACCTTGCGGCTGGACACACACACACACCCCCCACCTTGATCGGCCGGGACCCCTCCCGTGTCCCTGCACCCCCGGCTGAGGAGGGAGGAGGCTGGTGCTGCCCTTCCCATCGCGGCGGGAGCGAGGAGCAGCCTGGAAGCCCGAGAAAGGGACGGGTGAGGACCCAGGGGTCCGTGTCGTCCCCCCCCCGGGAGATGATCTGCTTTAGGGAGGAGAGCAGCACCCTTTGGGGGGTGGGGGGGGGAATAACTAACCCGGTTCCTTGGGAGAGGGAGGAAGAGCTGAAGGCCAGAGGCAGCGGGGTGGAGGGGGGGGGTCCCTGGGCAGCGGGAGGTGGGATTTGGGGCTGCGGATGCTGCGCGGCCGCGCTCGGCCTGGGGAGCCCCAAACCCGGGGGGGGGGGGGGCGAGGCAGAGGCCGTCCCCGGTTCACCCCGGCGGGAGGGGTGCTGGGGGGGCGGGCAGCGGGGCGGGGCCAATCCCCCCCCCCCCCCAACCCGAGCACGGGGCGGCACCGCCCGCAGCCCCCGCTCCGGCGGCCGCGTCGTTCCCCCCCCCCCCCCGCCATCGGCCGGAAAATGCACCTTTTTACCCCAAACGAGCGGTGAGTCGGATCCCGCGGAGCTCCCTGCCTGTAGGCGCGCAGGGTGGGCGGCTCTGCCCGGGGGGGGGGGACGGGAACAGGAACCAGGCGGGGGTCGTGGTCAAGCCCCGGGGGATGTGACACGGGTGACAACGGGGGGGGGGGTGTCGGTGCACGCCGCCGGGGTTCACACGCGGCGCGGGGGTTGGGGGGGGGGGCGGTGATGGCAGCATCCCTCCCCGCTCCTTGGTGGGGTTTGGGGTGGATTTGGGGGGGGGGGTTGAGTGGTGTGGTTTGGGGTTTTTCCCCACGGCAACTTCCCAAGGAAAGTTGCCAGCCTGCGGGGCTGAGGGCCAGGGAGGCAAATGGGAGCGAGAGATCTCTGCAGCCCCCCCCCTGCTCCAGACCTGCTGCCCGAGGGGAGAGCAGAGCCCAGCATCTCCTCTCCAGCCCCGCGCTGCTGCAGCCCCCGGGCAGAGCCGCGGCGGCCGCCGGTCCCACCCCCCCCCAAGCCCTGGGGGGGAGAAACCGGCTGGGAAACGCTTCCCGGGCGGGGGGGGGCAGGGAGGGATTCTCCTCCCCTGCTTTTCCCGGGGGGGGGGGGTTTGGGATGGGTTAGAGCAAAACCTTCAGGAGCGTCTGGCCAGCTGGGAGAGCGTACCCGTCCCTGGAGGGTGCAGAGACCGCCCGACTCATCGCACTAGTGAGGAGGAGGCGCAGCCCCCAGGCCCCCCCGGGGCAAGGGGAAGGAGGCAAAGCTTGGGAGCCGACCTCAGATCTCCTGCAGTGAAGCATCCCAGCCTGTGCCCCATCGCTGCCGGGAGCTGCTGGGATCCAGGAGCCATCCCCGCTGAACTCCAAATCCGTGGGGAGCTCTGGGGCTCCCCGAGACTCTCTGCTGCACAGTCACTGCTGCTTCCTCGCCTGGGTTAACTCGGAAATTGCTGCATTTCTCTCCCCTCTCGGGGACAGCTGGGGAGCAACCACGCTGCTGCTGCTCAGCTAATGCCGGAGCCTGCGAGGAGGGACCCCGCGCTTCTACCTGGAGCCCCCCAAGATTATTTTTCCTGCTCACGGTGATTTTTACCTGCCCAGGTAAAACACAGCGACAGGCGTTAGGGAGGATCTGGACTTTTGCCGGTTGCAAAGCTGGCGTTTCCCATGCGGAGCCTCGTGGCCATGGGAGATGCAGGATAGTGCAGGGTCATCATCTTTGGGTGTAAATCGGGTAGGATTGGTGCACTGCTTGTTGCCTGAGGTCTGGGTCTGCCAGGGCAGTGGCAGCTTTGTCTCCCACAGCTCCAGTGGTGGGATGAGGAGGGCAATCGGTGAGCGAGTTTGGGGTCAAGCATGAACAAGGGGCAGAGCCCAAATCTGTGTTTTGGGAAGTTTTGGATGTGGGTGGGTTTGGTTTGTTTTTTTTTTTTTTTTTTTTTTGACAAACGTGCCACCAGCAGACTTAGTCCTACTTTTCTGCCTTGCAGATCGAGGCCAGACAGGGCTTTCCCCGTGGGGAGGAGAGGGGTGGAAAAGGCTGGAAAAGCCTTGCTCAGAGCCCGGGGCGGCTGCGTGCGAGCAGCAGGGCCGGTGCTGGAGGAGAGGAGGGGCACTGCTGGAGGGCCCAGCTCAGCAGGGAGAAGAGTTTAGCCCGGTCTCAGCTGAAACACTGGGCTTTGATTGGTGTCTGGGTTAGGGCAAGAAGGAAAGGATGAACACGGAGATCGCTGCTGCGCTTTATAACTTGGCTTGTGAGTGCTCTGGGACCAGCAACCAGCATCTCTGCGCGAGCTGTCCCTCGGACTGCCACGATGCCAGAGCAGCAGCGAGGTGCCAAACCCCTCTAAGGCAGGGGGGAGGTCCCCCCTCTTCCAGAGGGGACGCGTGGCTTCATTGCTGTTTCTCTCCCCACGTTGAGCCATTTTATCATCCCCCCAAGCAGGGAAAGGTATCCCGAGCTCTGCAGCACCTCGCCAGGAAAACGAAGCTGCCCCATCACTCAGCAGAGGGGAAAACCAGCCGTCCCTGTGCTGCCGGCAGTAGGAGAGGTGCCTGTCCCTTCCTAATCCCTCAGATTTGGTTTCCCAGGAAGAGATTTGAAAGGCAGGTTGGGAGGACAACAGAGCATCTTGGTGAAATGCTCACAGGGAAGAGCTTAGTTAACATAAAATGCAATAAATCCCTTCCCCGAGCGCTTTGCACCTTCATTTTTTCACTCAGGAAAGGCTGATACTGTTTTGCTAACAAGAAAATACCACCTAATTTAATTCCTATGCTGAACACTGCAGTCAGTTTGTGTCTCTCTGGATGATACCTTGGAAATCTGCTTAAGTTGCTGCTTAGAGCTCATTAGGAAAGGATGTTTTGGGGGAAAAGCTTTGAAAGAAACGGAAAATTGGAAAATGGAGGGTTTTTAAAAGGGATGTTTTCCCTTCTGCAGAGAAAGTTGGTCCTGAAAACTTCTGTATTTTCACATTCAAAAAAGCCACCAGGAAATAGCGAAAGAAATGGAGTCTGCTACTTAGGCAGAATAGTTTTTCAGTACATCAAAAGAGGCTGTTTTGGGTAAATCTCTATAGTGTTGCACTATTAAGATGTCAATGTGGGCTTCCAGCACTAAACTGCAAAGTGTCCCTTAAGCTGAGCTCAGTCCATATATGACATGAGTGTAGCACGTTCTTGGCCAAGATATTACTGATTGTTTATCCATTGCACAGGGAGGTTTATGCCTGAGGAAGGCGGCTGGGGGACAGGAGGGACATCTCCTGGCCCTGTCCCAGCCTTGCTGTCCTTTTGGGTTAGTGACTCGATTACAGTGAGAAACCCCCCCTCCTGCGGTTGTCCCAGGGCTGGGCCCCCAGCCACGTCAGGCCAGCGTGGCTGGTACTTTAGCTCTAATGCACTGCAATTTCCACCTCTGCTTATTAAAATCCAAGCCTGGATGGTTGGGGGGGTCGATCACCCCGACAGTGCCTGAATGTGCGAGCATCCGAGGCGAGCTGGAAGGTGGTACCTAAACACCGAGCGACCGTCTGTCTGAGGCAAATCCGGCTCTTCCTCCTGCACGAGTGGGCTGCGGGGCTGTGGGAGTTCTGGGGAGGGTTTGGGGGGAGATTTTAAGTGCGGTGCTGAAGATGGGCTGGGGGGATTGTGGTCTGGGGATCACATCAATGGACCGTGGTCCGTGATCTCCCAGCACAGGCGCCAGGAAAGGAAGAGGGAGCTGGCTCGGTTCGTGCTGGATTAGCTTGTTGGGTGCTTGCGGGGCATCCCAAACCCCCTTTGCAGAGTGGGAAATACCTGGCTTGGATAAATCCCCATCGGCATCACGCGATGCCTTCGCCGGGACCTCTCAGATGAGCAGCCTCCTGGTGTTTGGGATGAATCTCGCGTACAACTCACCTGGGAAAACCCCTTCGGGAAGGAAGGCGATCGAGCTTCCCTGCTGCAGGAATCGATTCCTGGGGAACAGCATCATCTAAACCCTGCAGCGACCCAGAAATGGGGCTGCTCCTCTTGCACGTGGCCACGGCTCAGCCACGGGCACAGAGCAGCCCCTCGGTGAGGCTGGGGAAAGCTGTGGAGGGCAAAGGCGAGATTTAAACTGGAAAAGAGATTAGAAAAGCAGCAAAGGGCTTGAAGGGCTCCGGGAGGGAAGACATCCCCACAAAGAGCGATTGAAAATATCACCTGTTAAATACTCCCGAGGTAAATCATGCAGCTCTGCGTCTCGGTGCAGCCACTCTCCCCGTTCCCGTGCGGTTTTCAGTTCCTTCTTTGGCAACTCGGTTAGTGCCTGAGGTGCTTTAGCGCACGTTTGCTGTGTGCCTGGCAGGGGAGCCGAGGCTAGGAGTGATGGAGGGCGAGCAGCTATTTAGCATCCCTGCGAAAAAAAAAAAAAAAAAATCAGAAGGCGGCTATTTTTAAATGTTTTCCCTTTATTCTAACCTGTTGTCTCACGCATTGCAGGCTGTCTCGCTAGTGGGGAGCGTTTGCCATGGACAACGGTCACATAAGCAGATACCGCGTAAGCGGTGAGTACTTCTGAGCCAAGCCCCGGGGGAGGGGGTTCTGGGGGCAGAGCTGGCCGGGGCTCGCGCCGAGCTGCTCTCGGGAGGGGTTGCTGATCCTCACTGCATTCTGCAGGAGGAACCCTTGGTGGCACTTGCACAGAGGGTTTAGTTTCTTAATATAAGGGTAGAACCCTTTAAAGCCCAAAGCTTTCCAACATTAGGTGCTCAGCACTATAAAATGGGCAGGGATGGGTAGGAAGCAGGTTTCCAGCTCAGCTGGGGTTTGTGCCTGGAGTTATTCAGCAGTAGGAGTCAGGAAAGGGTTATTCTGCCCCAGTTTTGCCCCCCTGCTGCAGCAGGAGCATGTGAACTCCTTGGAGCTGGATGGCACCGAAAACCTCCGTGCACAGGGGTGCTCTAAAGAGCTGCGACGCTTCCCCCAGCGTCCTCAGCCGGGGATGCGGGGGATCAATCACGGACCTTTGCAGGGGCTTGGGGTGGAGGAAGCAGGACCTGGCTCCCACCCTGCGGCTTCACCCCACGGGACCCCTCTGGGCTGCTCCTGGCCCTCCGGAGGGGTCAAAGCTTGGCGCTTTGCGTGCGAATAGTTGGTTCCTTTTGATACATCCCTTTGCTGGCTCCTGCCAGAGGAGGTTTGGGGAGGTGGAGGGAGCAGCGGGTTGTCCCTCTGCTCGGATGTGATGTGGGAATAAGCCTGGTTTGGGCTTTTTCTGGCTCTGAAGCTGCTGCTGAAGGAGGGAGTGCCGTGGTGTGACGCGGGAGGACTCCCCGGCAGCGCTCTGTAATGAGAAAGCTGCTTCTTTTCTTTTTTATTTTCTTTTTTTTTTTTTTTTTTTTTCTCTCCCCTTTTTTTGTGATACACTGAGTGATTGGTGTTGGTTCAGTCACTGGTGTGATGGAGGCTGGTGCAATGCAGCAGCAGCCACTCAATGTACCATCACAGGGCTTGTCGGGTCCTCCCCGCTTTGCAGCCACAAGCTCGGGCTTTCTCCTCCCTGGATCACAGCAGCAGCAGCTGTGGGGTTTTGCCCCTGTTTCCAAAAGCTTTCTGTTTGGTTTGTGGTTTTGGGGTTTGTTTTTTTTTTTTTTTTTTTTTCCTATTTCTGGATTTTCTTGGCATCCCCAGCCCGTGGGAAACCAGGCAGCAGCAAGCGTTTCCCTGTGGTGGAAGGGGCGATGCAGACGTGCACCGAGCGCATCTGCGAGCGGGGCAGCTCCGTAGCTGGTGACAGGACCCCCCCCCCCCAGCACCCCTGGGGGTGTTGCAGCAATTCACCGACATCCCTGGTTTGCTGGGGAGCAGGGCTAAAATACACGTGTGCTTCACCTCCTGGGAAAGCGAAGCGTGAGGACTGGGGCGGGGGGGGGGGGGGGGTTTGGCTCACACAGCCGCTGCCTGACGCCATTCACAACCCGCCCAAGTGTGGGACCCTGTGGTTTATCCCCCCACCGCCCCCGAGGCCGGTCCCGTCCTCACAGCTTAGAGCCGAGCTTCTGGCGTGGAAGCAGCAGAGGACGAAGCCTCTGCCCCGGGGTCGCGGCCGGCTCACGGTGCCTCTTGTCCCCGCGCAGTCGCCGCGAGCCCGCCTCGGTGGGAGATCGGCATCTACGCCGCCGGCGCCTTGGTGCTGCTGGGGATCGCGGCCGTCAACCTCTGGAAGCTCTGGCGCTCCGGCAGCTACCCGGCACCTTCCCCCTTCCCCAACTACGACTACCGATACCTGGAGCAAAAGTACGGGGCGGCGTATTCGGACGTCAAACACAAGGTAAAAGGGCGGAAAGTTTGGCTCACCTCCTTTCCCTTCGCGACACACGAGCTGCTGGAGGGGCAGAAATATCACCTGCGTCCTCCTCTCGCCGGGGGCGGGGGGAACGCCGTGGGCAGTGAGCTGGTGCTGCGGGAGAGTTTGGGGGGATCACCGTGGAGCTGTTAAACAGGGCTCGGGAGCTGCAGGAGGTGCAGGGTTTGCTGCCACGGCACCTCGAGGCCAAGCAGGGGCTGATAAGGCGTCCAAAACGGCGGCAGTGAATCCCAGCTGTCCCCGGCTTCGTGTGAAGGGATGGGGTCGCATCACCTGGTTTTCCTTTCCCTGTTGGCAGCGAGGGATGGCCCCGGGCTCGCAGAAGGCGCTGGAGAAGACCTCGCCCATCCGCAAGACCAGCCTGCGGGCGGACGACACCTTCGAGAGCATTAACGAGCTGGGGACCCTGGAGCTGATGAGCAAAGACCTGGGCTTGGCCCCCTACGGCCCCTTGAAGAAATCCATCTCGGCCGACTCGCTCAGCTCCATCTCCTCCATCGGGAACAACTTCGGGCAGGATTTCACGGTGGGGCAGGTGGAGGTCTCCATGGAGTACGATGGGAAGGCGGCCACCTTGCACGTGACGCTGCTGCAGGGCAAGGACCTGCTGGAGAAGGAGGACGCTCGCTTCGAGTCCTGCTTCATGCGCATCAGCCTGCTCCCGGCCGAGCAGATCGTCGGCATCTCCCGGGTGAGCCGCTCACCCCTCCTTGCACAAACCCCCCCACCCCACGCGTGGCATTGCTCGCCACGTGCCCGCTGCAGCCTGTGCTTTTGGGTCGCAGCATCCCTTGGCCAAGCTCCCCAAGAGAGCGGTGGGGCCTTGGGGGTAGGGAGGTGCGGGCACGTTGGGGCTGGGGGTGGGTGGCGCAGGATTTCTATAGCCCTGCTCGGCGGGGATCAGCATTCTGCAGTGTAGGGGGGGGCCCCGGATGGGTTTGTGCATCAGAGACCTGGCAGAGGCAGAAATTTCTCCCTCTTGGCTGGGATGTGTGATGACTTTGTCTCCGAGCGTGGCTTGCGGCAAGGTTTCCTGCTCGGCTTCCCCTGCTCCGGGGCCGGGGCTGCTGCGGGAGGTGGTGGAAGTGGTCTGGGGTGGGATCTGGGGAGAGGCAGCGCTTTGGGCACGTGCTGCCGGTGTCGTGCCCGAGCGCCGTGCCCCGCAGCCGCCTCTCCCTTCTGCAGCAGCCGTGATGCTTTCCCTGCCCATGCGGGACGCGGTGGCCAAAGGTCCGGGCAGCTGCACCGGCCGGGCCAGAGCAGCCAGCGGTGTTTTGGGGGAAAAACTTCCCTTTTTAAGTGCCTCAGAAGCTGCTCTCAAGAAGCAGGAGCCTCGATTTTCTTTCAGCACCTGCTTTTTGCAAAGCTCAGGGTCAGCCGGTTTGAGTTAATCAGGATATTCCAGAAAGGAGCAGAAAGCCTCATCCCACTAAAGTAACCTTGCCACGGGAGTGGAGGTACCATTCTAGCGAGCACAAAACCACTGCCTTTGAAATATTTCCACAGTGCCCTTTTAAGACCATTTCTCCATCCAAAGACCAGGCTCTTTATTTATGCTCTGGAGATATTTATTATTTAGCATGATTATTTATAATTCACCAGCACTATTTACCCTCTCTTGCTGTCCTGAGACAAGTCATAAAGACGCATTCGGTTCTTTTCCTTTAGTGCTTTACAGTACTTATGGGTTTTGGTTTGGGGTTTTTTTAAATAGCAGCTAACGTATCTGTTGTACCTTTCATCCAGAGATCCCAAAATACAATGTTGGCTGCAGACAGACAGTCAGCAGGGCTATAAAGCAGGCAGCTGCCGATCTGCTTTCCCCACAGAAGTACTTTAATCCCCCGGGACTCCGGGGGTCGGTGGTGTCCGAATGGAGAGCGTGGGTCTGTCTGTGCGAGGAGGGGGCTGGTGGAAGGCACCACCTTGTAGCTGCTTCGTGCTCTTCATCCCAGGGATGGAGCACTGCTGGGGACAGACAGACAGACAGACAGACGGTGTGGGAAGGTCCTCGGGATGAGATGAACTGTCTCCCCACCGCTGCGGGGGACTCTGGGTGGCTCTTGGGGTGGTGAAGCCCCAGGGGTTCAGGGCTGGTCCCGCAGCGGGATCCCTTTGCCTGGGCAGTGGGGAGCTGGTGGCTCCGCTTTGCTCCGCACAATCCGGGTTTCCCATCACGAGAGCGCCGGGCCGTTTAGGACAAAGCCCTTGTGTGTGTGTGTGGTACCTCGGAAGCCAAAAGAAATAGGGCTGGAGGAGGAGAAAAAGGTCTCTAAAGCCATGATTTCAGAGCAGTTCCCCCACCAGCGCTTTGGGACCAGGTAGTGGCCAGCACCCTGCAGGATGGGGCCCAGGGACTTGCTGCTGTGTTTGCTCAAAGTGAATGACGTGACATAGAGACGATGTCTGGCAAAAAGCATCGTCCCTGTTAGGGGGTTGTGAAGCCCGTTGGCCCCGGCTTGGAGAGGGGCTGGGGGTTACAGCCCCTCGGCCAAATCCCGTAGCCCGGAGCGGCCGATCTGGGCTCCCAGGGCGTGGGGATGCCCAGCTCTTGCATCTGAGAGCACGAGACTGACTTTACATTTTTAATTAACAGAATTTATGGGCAACGGGGCAGGTCACAGCCCCTGTTTTCTACCCCAATTGCCGAGTGGCTGCTGCAGTCAGGTGGGAAATAACTTTTGTCCCCATCGAGGCTGGGACTCCCCAGGTCCCTTGGGCTGGGGCATGCCCTGTCCTTGCCGCCCCAAAGCCATGCGCTCCTTGCAATCCCCGTGAGAGAAGGGGGGGGCAGATGTTGGATGTGGCCCCAAAAACCCGGCGGGTATCGAGGCAATCCCCCCCCCTTCCCCGCGGCAGATTCAGCGGAACGCCTATGCCGTGGCCTTCGACGAGCGGTTCTCCATCCCGCTGGACCCGGCGGCGCTGGAGGAGAACAGCCTGCGCTTCTCTGTCTTCGGCATCGACGAGGACGAGAGGAACGTCAGCACCGGCGTGGCCGAGCTCAAGCTCTCCGACCTGGACCTGCCCACGCGTCCCTTCAACGCCTGGCTCTACCTGCAGGACATGAATAAGGTGAGGTGGGGGGGGGGTACCTATCACACCCAGGTGTTTTTGGGGGGGGGGGGGGGGGGGCGTTTCTCCTCCCAGCTGGGCTGGGGACGGTGGTGATGGGACGTTGTGTCCCGCAGGCAGTGGACACAGTGGGGGAGATCCTGCTCTCCCTGAGCTACCTGCCCACGGCCGAGCGCCTGACGGTGGTGGTGGTCAAAGCCAAGAACCTCGTGTGGACCGACGGCAAAGTGACCGCAGGTGAGCAGGGGGTGCCAGGCGGGGTGGGGGGGGGGATGGCCAGGGGTGCCTTGGTCTTCTGTGGGCTGGAGCGGGGCTTTCATCCTGCTACGCTATGCAGATATTTACTGGAGCGGCTCCCGTTGAGGACAGACCGTACCGGGAAGGTCCACCAGAGATGGCTTCCCCCATATCACAGGGGAGACGCGTGGCTGACCCCCGGGTTTTTCTCTCCCCCCCCACCCCGAGCAGATCCCTTCGTCAAGGTGTACCTGCTGCAGGACGGGAGGAAGATCAGCAAGAAGAAGACGGCGGTGAAGAGGGACGACACCAACCCCGTGTTCAACGAGGCCATGATTTTCTCAGTGCCGGCCATCGTGCTCCAGGTCTGTCCCGGCTCAGCGGACGCATCCCAGCTTGGAAGGGGCTGGAGGGGGGGCCACATCCCATCGCTCCTCAGGGTCCCCAAATCCCTGTGCTTCTGAGGACTTTGGGGTGGGTGAGGGGTTCTGGGGGGATTGTAGGAGCTGCAGGGTGGGGCCATGTATGTGCATATAGGGTTTGGGGGGATGTATGCGTGGGGTATGGGGAATAGAGGGATGTGTTTGTATGGGGTGGGGCTGTTGGGGGGAATTTGTATGTGTGGGTTGGGTGATGCATATGTGCAGGGTATGGTTGCGTATGTGGATGGGTGCATATGTGGGTTTGGGGGGATGTGGGGAAAGTAGGGGGATGTGTAGGGTGGGGGGTATAGGAGGATGTATGTATATGGGGTGTGGTTGTGTATGGGGGTGAGCATAGGGAGTTTGCAAGTGTGGGGGGATGTGTATGAATGGGGCGGGGGTATAGAGGGATGTGTATGTATGGGTTAGCATTGGGGGTATGTTTGCCTGTGCCTGTCTGGTTGGGGAGGGTGTGGGGATACGTATATAGGGGAGGGGGGTGAGCGCTGGCAGTGCTGGGCCGTGGTGACGGCCCCGTGCTCCCCGGCAGGACCTGTCCCTGCGGGTGACGGTGGCCGAGTGCGGCGAGGACGGCCACGCCGACAACACGGGCCACGTCCTCATCGGCCCGGCGGCCAGCGGGATGGGCATCACGCACTGGAACCAGATGCTGGCCACGCTGAGGAAGCCCGTCTCCATGTGGCACCCGCTCCGGCGAAACTAGGCTGCTGGCGGGGGGACCCCGGGATCCCGCACCCCGACACCGGCTCCGCCGGGGACAGAGGCCAGCGGGGGCTCTGCCAAGAGACTCCCCCCCCCCCCCCGCCCCCGACGCCCTGGCAGCCGGGCAGGGACTCTGCAGCGCGGGGAAGGCAGAGCTGCCGGCGCACCTCGGACGGAGCATCTCGCTGCCGAAACGCTCGGAGGATGCGGCGACTCCTCGGCTGCGTCTCTCCCCATCCGGGTCGCCCTCGCATGCGCTGGGGGCTGCGACCAGACCTGCCGGGAAAGGAGCCCTCCCTTCACGTGGACCAAAACCAGCAACAACCCCCCCAAACTGCTGCCCGGCTGCCGGCCGGGCTCCCGAGCATCCCGCATGCTCCCCGGCAGCCCCGAAATCGGTGGTGCCCTTGACCGTGGGCCCCGAGGGCTGCCGGGGAGGGGGTGGATTTCTTTGGAAGGCAGTTTTTGGTCGAACGGGGGTGGGAGGAAATGGAGAGGGGGTTGATAAAGTGCCAGCGCAGTGTGGCTTCTCTGGGCGTATGTGGTTTTCCTGTTGTTTTTTTCAGGAGGATTTTTCGGGGCTGAAATGTTTCCAATGCAACGGAATGGGAAAAGGCAAAAATAACAGCAGAAAAAGCAATTGTTATATCATAGCCATAGACTGGTTTGGGTTGAAAGGGACCTTAAAGCCCGGGCAGGGCCCCCTTCCCCCAGCCCAGGGGGCTCCCAGCCCCGTCCAACCTGGCCTTCAACCCTTCCAGGGAGGGGGCAGCCACAGCTGCTCTGGGCACCCTGGGCCAGCGCCTCACCACCCTCACAGGGAAGAATTTCTTCCTTACATCTAATTCAAATCTATTCTCTGCCAGTTTAAAACCATCACCCTTCATCCTAACCCCAACCCCTGATCCAGAGTCCCTCCCCACCTTTCCTGTCCCCCCTTTAAGCCCTGGGAGTCTGCTCTAAGGTCTCCCCGGAGCCTTCTCTTCTCCAGGCTGACCCCCCCCAACTCTCTCAGCCCGGCCTCCCAGGGGAGCTGCTCCAGCCCCCCCAGCATCTCCGTGGCCTCCTCTGGCCCCGCTCGAGCAGCTCCGTGTCCTTCTGCTGTTGGGGGCCCCCGAGCTGGCCCCAGCACTGCAGGGGGGTCTCCCCAGAGCGGAGCAGAGGGGGAGAATCCCCTCCCTGGCCCTGCTGCCCCCCCTGCTCTGGCTGCAGCCCAGGGCACGGAGGGGTTCTGGGCTGTGGGCACACGGTGCTGGCTCACAGGCAGTTTTCCCCCCACCAGCACCTCCATTCCCTCTCCTTGGGGCTGCTCTCCAGCTGCTCCTCGCCCAGCCTGGGTTTGTGCTGGGGATTGCCCCGACCCACGGGCAGGACCTGGCACTTGTTAACTTCATGAGGTTCGCCCGGGAACCTTTTTCTTGGAAAAAAAAGTAAGCCTTGAGAATGGGTTATTGTTTGCAGTGCAAAGTGACCTAAACTCTCTTCTTGGTTTATAGGACAAACTGGATGGATTTGTTCCTGCTCACTTTTTTGGCTGGTACCTGAAAGTAAGAATGGGTCAGACTAAAGTCAGACCCAGGCTGAGAGTGATCCTCTAAAGGTCCAATATGATCGGGGTCAGCTTTTCCCACCCGGGCCCCTTTTCCCAACTAAATTAACCCTCAGGGCTGCTCATAACCACGCAGCAAATTCCTGTTCTAATGTCAGTCTCGTGACTGGGGGTTATTTTTTGCAGCCCCTAGTCCTGGAGTCACGCTCTGACTTGCTCATCCCAAAGCTCGCTCATTTTATCTGATGTCGGGGTGCAGAGAGGAACATCTTGGCCCTGTGACCGGAGGTGGACACAAGACACCCCTAATTTTATAATTTTTAAACCCAACTCCTGTTTCAGGGGCAAGGGGGAGGAAGAATCTGGATCCTGTCTGCTCGTGGGCTCCTGGCCCAAGCAAGGACCCAGCCCCTGGGTAAGGTTTGGGGTTTTTGGGGAGCTGATGCCCGTTTTCCCGGGCACAGGCTGGTGGGCAGATGCCCTGGGGACGCATCCCCGCTTGCACTGGAGCCTCGGCTTTCCTCTGCCTGCAGCGTGCTGGCAAGAAGCCAGGCAGGGAAATCTGGGGGTGTTTGGGGCAGTTTGCCAGAAACCTGGTGCCACAGGGTGAGCACGGGGTGGGGAGGATGGGAAGAAAAAAAAAGTGTGAACGAGCCATTTATCCCTGATTAAAGCTAACACCACGGTGGCACCCCGAGGAGCTGGGGGCAATTGTCCTTTCTGCTGCTCTGTCTGCCTGACCTTCATTTTGGGATGAGGCTGCGATTTCTCTGTTGCATCTTCCCCCGCTCCGGCGGGGGAACCGCTCTGGCTCTTTCCCCCGTATATGCCCAGCACCGCTTGCCGATGCACAGATTTTCTTCTCCCACGCTCCAGCTCTTCCTCCTCCTCCTCCCCTTCCCCCCCAGGAGCCCCATGTCCCATCTGCCGCTGCGCGGGCCGGTGCCATCCCTCGGCGGGCTGACGCACGGCCGGAGGCACGAGCCAAGGTGCTGCTCGGAGCCCAGGTGGGTGCAGGCAGGCCGGGCTGGCCCAGGGCTGGGGCTGCACGCAGATGGGTTTTTAAGGATGAGGTTTACCAAAGGGTGAGGAAGGGTTTTTTTGGAAGGTGTTCACAGCCTGTGCTAACAGGCGCTGAGGTTTGGGGGGAAATTTGCTTCTTGGCTACCTCAGCGTTTGGGAAGAGAGACAGACGTAGAAATGCTTGGCTACCTTGCAGCCCCTGCAAACTGCTGAGCCTTTGGCCAGGACGAGGCTTCCACTAGTGCTGCCATCACTAGCGGGTGAGATCTGTGATGTTCAGCCCCGAAACGATGGGGCATGTGTGGTTTGGGGCTTTTTATCGTGCCTCTCTCCTGCCGTTCCTCTGCGGAGGCATCTCAGCCCCTTTTCCTGCATCCTGGGGCCTGCGTGTGCCGCCCTGGGGACACAACGCGGCCGCTGGACCCTGCGTGCTGCACTGGTACCCACTGGGAGTCGTCATGGAGATGGGCCGGGGCTGCGGGCGGATGGAGAGAGGCTTGGGTGGTGATGATCAGCAGGCAGAAGGGAATGGGGGTGGTGGGATAGTTTTGGGGGGTACAGGACCGGGGAGGGACAAAGCTCGCCTGGCCGTACCCTGCCATCACTGCTGCGGACGTCAGCCCCCAAGGAGCTTTGAGGAAGGGCAGCACAGGGGAAGGAAAAGCTTCTCCCGAGCAGGTCTGGGCTCTGCCAGGGGTGGGAACAGCCAACAGTGATGAGGGAGAGACCCTGCCCCTGCTCCCCCCTCGCAGCGGGCTGGGTGTTTCGGAGCAGCTCGCCCTCGTGCCAAGGTAAGGACTCGAGGCCTCGCCAGCCCTGCGCAGCCCCAGGGAGGGGGTGAGCCCTGCATGGGCCGCATCCTGCACTGGGGCTGAGCCCGCAGCCCCTCTGCATGGTGGGAGGGGGATGCAGCCCGGCTCTGCCCACTCCCAAAGGGCAACTTTGGGTCTTGCTGGCTGCTTGCGCGGACGTGCCAGTGCACCCCAACTCCAGCAGTGCTGGGAAAGGGCGCTGAGGGCGTCCGTTTTCTTAGCCGTGCTCCCCGGAGGAGAAGGGCACAGCTCCTCTCCTGGCCCTGCTCACGCACATTCACCTTTTTACTGTAGCAGGGAGAAGTGTCACAGCAACAGCTGGCTGCTTTAGGTGAGCTGATCCCTGCCTTTGCTGGCGCCCTCCAGCCTCCCTGGCTACACCCACTATCTGTCAGTGAGGATAACCGGGACGAATGAAGCCGCTCTCCTTCCTCGCAGCTCTGCGGTTTAGGGAGGCCCAGCCACTCTTTATTCAGGCTCTCTGGCTCCAAGCGCCCTACCACCCCAAAACGAGAGCTCCCCTTTTCCTCTCGGGCTCAGCGCAGCCCTGGAGCTTTAATAGCATCTTTGGTTTATGTAGTCTGACCTGTGACTTCAAGGTTAAAAAAGAAGTATTCAGGTCCTTCATTTCTCCTTGTCTTTCTTTTTGCTCTTTCTCTGGCTGGTCAGTTCGCTGAGCTTCTTGTCTAGGCGCCGCTGGAGATGGGCTCTCTTGGCTGGGTCCAGGGTCTTGTCCTTGGAGCCACTCCCGGGGTAGAGAACCCCTTCCCTGCTGATCCTCTGCCGCGCGTGGGCCTTGGCCTTCTCCCCACAGCCGTGAACCTGGCGGGGAGAGAAGGGACGCTGGTGGCAGCCAGGAAACGTGGGAATCGGGCGATTTTATTCCGGAGCCTGGAACTCCTCTCTTCCACCTGCTTTGCACCCCCCTAAAACCATCTCCTATTTATTTATAGCTCCTCTAACAAAACAAAATTTAAAGGTAATTTTTCTCCCTCTGGAACCTGCACAGCAGGTAAATTATAATTTTGATGGTTTAAGTGACTCTGACCAAAACTCTAAACATCTGGGAAAAACTCGCACTCAGTGTGTGAACAGCTGGATCTTTTACGGTTCTTGCATGAGAGCCAGAAATAAACCTGAGCTCCTGCTTCTGTTCTCTGCTAATATGGTATGATTTGGGAGAAGAAGGAGTGAAACAGGAAAGGTCACTTGGGAAATAAGAGGAGACATTTTTAGCCATATATCTGCTTCTTTAATGTAATTAAATCTGTCTTCTCTACTAGAACAAAAAACCCCTTCATAATGGCAATGTTGTGCAGGCAGACCCTTTCCAAAGCCAGTCTGCGCTGAAGCCCAGGCCAGGTTTAAGGGGCACTAAGCCAAGTTCAACACCATCCTGAACCACCTCCACCGAGTCTAAATTAGAGATCCTACAAGTTTACCCCTCCTGCTTGGTCCGTCCCAAAGTCACTTGATGTTTTTGCGAACATGAGCTGATCTGAGGCTCCCAGCCTGCTCTTCCAGTGCCGTGGCAGACCTCTGTCCCTGCTAGAGCTGCTGGAGCAGGTTGCCAATGGCCAGGGCTAGCCCTGCACAGCACCCTGCTCCTAGCCAGGACTGGGACTGCTGAGCCCGCTGCCTGAGCGAAACCAGCCGTAGCTGCCAGCCCCCACAGAGCAACTTTAAAAGGGGCAGGAATTCCTGTGTCAGTAGGTGCTGGAGGGCAGGTCGGGCAGCACTCTGTGGGGCGGGCTGTGCTGTACTGGATGGAGGGATCAGCACTGGGGGCTGCTAAAGGGGCAACGTGAGCTCTTTCTGAGCAGGGACCCTCCACACGCAGAGGCTCCAGCCCCTCTCAGGCGGCTCCAGGTACGTGCGAGCCCCTCTTCGGGCCAGGGGTGGGTAGGAGGTCCCAGGCTATTTCACATGGAAGGCTGACAACATCTGGAAAAAGGGCTGAGCTTCAAAAAGAAAAAAACCTCGTTGACATGGATTGTATCCTTCCAGTTGTTTCTCACTGGAGTCCTCATCACAATTCAGGGAGAGGCGATTCTGCAGGAAATAAATTTATATCCCAACTGGATTGTGAATGACCATAAATACAACTATTCTTTGCCATGGAAACAGATAGTACTTGACAAGGGGAAAATCTATACTGAGGATTTATAGGTCAGCTTGCCAAATGCTGCTCAGCTCTGGGAGGCTCTATGTGGCGAAGAGCTACACCTGGGTGATGCAGGACATGGGACAATGGGCACAGGAGGCTGTGGCTGAACGGAAAATCGTCACCTCTCAGCCTGGGTACTCGTCACAGCCACCAGCCAGCCACATCAGCTCTGCCCATGGGACTCCAGCCCCAGGGCCAGCTTTCTGTGAAGCACCACGCTGCCAACCCTGGAGGCTTGAACTGACCCGCCGGCCTCTGCACCCGCACAGAAAGATGAAGCCCGATGCCAGTTTAACCTTCGTTTCCTTCCTTCCCAGATGTGGGGAGGAAAGGGCTGTCCAACAGCTATGGAAGAAGAGCGAGGAAGAAGCTGTTGGCTCTGTGGCCCTGGCAGCACCGCTCGCAGAGAGGTGCAGGACAGTACAGGGCTGTGGAAAGGCCTGCTCCAGAGTCCTCCACCACAAGAAAGCAGAGCAGCAGGGGCTGGGGGATGGCTGTCCCTCAGGGGTGCATCAGAGCTAAAGCTGAGGCTGCAGAGTGGAGCAGCTCAGCTCCAAGTCAGTAAAGACATTTAAGGAAATGCCTCGTTGCTAACCAGGCACACAGCACTGCTCTGTGCGGGCTCAAGCCCTGACTCGTCCCCGTGTTGCAGAGGGAATCTGCAAAGAGCTGGGAACTGAGTGTCCAGGCTCCCTCAAGTCCTTGCCTTAAGCTTTCTCCTCTCTGCCTTGCTTTTTCTGCACGACCTGGGAGTGTAAGTGCCAGAGAATGGTAAAGAAGGGCATAAAGCAAGATGGGGGGAAGAAGAAAAAGCTCTCAGGAGGAGGCATGCAGAGCCCACGTGTTAGTGCCTGGCAGCTCTAGCAAAAGCTCTGACAGAGAGGGTTCCGCTTTACCCTCCTTGCAAGGAAATCCTGCCTGGGGAGCTCAGCACGGACAATTCCCACGTTAAACCCGTGCTGCTTGGCACATCCCCCTCCTCTCCAGCCCCCTCAGAGCCCTGGGCAGGCCTCCCGGCCCCACGTACCTCGGGGATGTGATGGCTGAGGCAGTAGCGCCTGTTGCAGTGGAGGCAAAGCTGTCCCAGGGCTGTAACACTGGCTTTGCAGCGGGGGAAGCTGCAGGTGCTGTCAGCTTTAATGGCAGCAGAAATCAGAGCGTCGATATCTTCTTCTGCCGTGCTGTCTGCTCCACTGGTACCCGCTGGCTTTCCTGGGGAGAAGGCAGGGGACAAGACCCGGCTGTTCAACAACCGGCGTAGGAGCTGAGGGCAAAGCCAAGCAACCCGCAGCTGCAGCCTGGGTAGTGAGAAGCAGCACAGGTCCGGGGAGTCGCCGCTTGCAGCACCTGGGATTTCAGCCCCCGTGAGACCCCTTGTGCCCGTGAACCTCAGCCCGTGTTCAAAGGCACGAGCAGGAGCTCGAGGCTCCCACCTGCAGCGTGCCTGCGTGCCTCCCCCTGCCGAAACGGGGCTGGGGAAGAGGAAGGGACTGTGTCTGGCAGGGAGGATGGCAGCTCCTGGCTCTGTTTTCCCTGGCCTCTGCATTCAGGAGGCAGCCACATCCTTCAAGATGGGCCAGGTACTCCTCTTAGTTCCTCTCCCTATATTTGGGAGTCTCCCATCTAACTCCTGAGCCTCTCTTCCTGGGAAAGGGTCCCCTGTGTTTTTCTTTTGCCTGAAGAAATGTGCCTCCAGGCATCCAAATCCCTCTCCCCCGGCTGCTGCACCAACTGATGCACGCTCCTGCCCGTTCTCACAGCTCTGCAGTGACAAGCACGGGGGAGCTCTCCAAGAGCCACATCCCGTGCTCCACGCATGCAGGCAGACACAGCCCGAGGCCTGGAGGCAAAATCATGGGGATTAAGTAGCACGATCCATTCGAGGAAGACCGTTAATCGGGCTGGTTATGAAGAGAGCGACCTACCTTTGGCTTCACTTTTGTCTTTTTTCCTGCTGCTGCCCTGAAGGCCGGCACTGGGCTCCTGAGCCTTCCTCACTGCATCCTCCCGTCTGGCTTTCTCCCTCTGAACTCTCTCCAGGTGCAGGGTTTTCAAGTCCACTTGCCCTGAGCCCTCGCTGCTCCCTCCTGGCTCAGCAGGGACAGGAGTTTCCCCGCCGGGGGGCTGCTCGCTGCGGGGGGTGGCTGCGGGTCGCGAAGGCTGGGCCGGCTCTTTCTTGCGAACGCTGATGTACCGCTCCCTCCCCGCCCCGGTGCTCAGGTGCTGCAGCCTGTACTCCTCTGCCATCAGGTGAACCAGCATCCGATCGTGAGAATTGAGGGACGGGGGGAAATCCAGCTGCACCTCGCTGCCCTCCAGGAAGGCCACCAGCATGGCCCTGAACCTGTCAGCACCATCTTTTGTCCCCGGGCCCTCTCGCCCGGGTCCGCTTGTGTTGGGGGAGAAACGCGCTTCTGGCTTCTGACCCGCTGGTTTGGTGGCCGCTGCTCTGAGTTTCCTCCCCGGAGGCGGCTGCGGTTTGGGGCCCGACGCTGCAGGAAGCTTTGCGCCTTGCTGCCGCTCGCTGCGGCCCTCCTGAGCGCAGTTTTCGGGCACGAGGTTGTCGAGGTACTCGAAGGCGGAGCGCACCTCCCCGTGCCGGCTGAAATAATCCACCAGCCGCTGCAGGAAGGGCTGGCTGCTGACGGTGCGGGTGTCGCAGATGACGGCCACGTGGCGCCGGGCCCGGGTCACCGCTACATTTATCCGCCGCTCCTCCGCGAGGAAGCCCACCTCACCTGCGAGAGAGAAACCAAGGGGTGGAGGGTTGGCTCCAGGTCTAGATTTGGCCCAAGGGATCGGAGGGTTGCTTGGCTGAAGGGTGGGAGTCAGCGTTTGCTGGGCTCTGGTCCCTGAGGCACACGCTTACCTTCATCTTTCTGCCTCTGTTTCAGCACCTGCAAGCCAGAGCGAAGGTCCCCGCTTACCTCTCAGGGTTGCGAGGAGGAGGATGGACGGCACTCAGAGAGGAGAAGTATTTTCCTGGGGAGCCCAGGACACAAGATCAGGCTGGGAGCAAATGCAATACAGAGCAACGTGGAAGAGGCTCACCGTGCGACAGGAGAGGAAAAGAAATACACCCAGGCCTAAACAAATCCCCCCACCTGCCCCCCGACTTTTGGCAGGTTTAAAGCAACATCCATTCAGGCAACCCTGCAAGGTTTGCTTCTGCTCTCTGGCTATTTTCTCAAAGGCAAGCAGTGAGATCTAGCAAATGCCAAGATGACTCAGTGAGGATCAGCTAGCAAGAAGAGGAGTGTGGGCGGCTTTTGAGTTTCCAGCTCCTGGGGATAAAAGGCCAGTTGGGAAGAAAGGAATGTCTCGGCCGGGGCGGTGCCCAGCCTGGCTCTGTTTCTGCCTTGCTGAGCGGTCTAGTTTGCGCTGCCTTTGAGGAATAGAGTGTGGGTGACCCCCTCTCTGTGCTCTGCAGCTTAGAGAATGATTTCCAGTTTCTCTGATGTGGTTTGGCCTGACTGCAGGGGCAAGTCCAGCTCTTCTGAGCTGGCAAGAGGGTTTCCTGCTGGGTCGGGAATGGCTGCAGAGGGACAAGTGCTGCTGGTCAAGGTGCCTGGCCTTCTCTGAACTGCAAAAAGGGCACGGATTTCTCCCAAGGGTCTCAGAGGGTGCTAACAACACCTCTTGTGCCCCACACAGACCAGAGCCGTGTCCAGACACCACGAGAAGCTGCCTCGTGCCCCCGCGAAAGCGAGTGATCCCGGCACCACACCTGAGCTCTGACTGCTGGCCGTGCACGAGAAGGGGCCCGGGGGCCGCACGCCTTCACGGAGGACACCAGCTCCCACTGAGCCATGGTGAGGTGAGTCACTCATGAATAAGGACTATTCTTAGTCCTGTCCCCCACCTCCATTCTCCCCCCAACGCTGCTTTTCTTGCTCAAGGTTTTCTTAAAAAAAAAAAAAAAAAAAGCCTTCTCCTTCCATCTCCTTCCATACATCCTTTCCCCTTTTTTTTTTCCTTCTAGACATCAGCACTCCCAGCACATACACAATGTTCCATCTTCAGCAGCTTTAGCAGCAAAGGTGGTGCAGCAAGGGACAGGTCTCTGTGGGTTTGGAAAGGGCAGTGATCCACGAACAGAGAGGGGTGGTCCACGGTGCAGTCCCACTCATGCCCTCCCCTCAAACTGGCTGCCACAAAACCCTTCAGCACGCGCCGACGGCTCCGCTGAAGGAGACTCACAGCTCCAGGGCAGCAGCTTTTTTCCAGTTATTAACTTTTGCTGCAGCTGCTGATAGGGAAGAACTTGATTTTCCGCTCTAGATTTCGCTCCCAAAAGCAGCATTTTCTGTGCATGACTTGTAATGTCAGCTCCTGATTGCTTTCTTTGGGGAAGTGACCCAGAATAGGCTCCAAACCCAAGAAATAAGCCCCCTGAATTGTCACCTTTTGTGGGAAATGCTTGGCACTCCAGTACATGTGGTGCTAATGTGACATGTCATTCTTAAGACCCTGGTTTAAATAATTTCAGAGGCCTCAACAGCCAGGAAACCTTCAAACTAAGCAGTCCTGGCTCCCTTTTCACCTGCTGCCTAGCATGGGAGCCTTCCTCTGCAACCGTGACAGCAAATATACTTGTTCATTAAAACAGAAAAAGGCTGAAAAGGAAAGTTCTTGCCAGTAAATTAATTCAGAGCAAAGTGCTAGAGACATTCAGAACTGCAATTAAACCACAGCACTTGGCAACACGATGAGCGGCCTTTGAGCAATCACACGGTTCCCGTTTCTTTCCCATTCCCCACAGAGTAACTCCAGCAGCGACCTCTCACCTTTCCTGTTGGATCTCACGAACGACAGGATCACTGCCTCTTTCTCTCTTCCCTGGAAACCATCAACTGATCTAATTTCTAGCTCTGGGTACTTGTGGCAAAGATGCTCTCTGAGCATGTCCACCTGAAAAACACGTGACAGATACCCTTTAAAGAGAAGCGCAAGGTGAAAAGGATCCAAATGGCACTGTTTTGGTGAAGTCCCTTCTTCTCAAACCCACAAGGAAGTGTGCTCACATCCCCTGAAGGTCAAGTGCTGGCTCCTGAGGCTGGGAGTGAAAAATACCCATCTAACATCTCTTCCCTCCAGGGACTCAAGTTGCTTAGATGTGGCGAAGTCGGCCACAAACGCTGATTAACCAGTTTGGCTCTGCTGACTTCCACCCTGCCTCTCTGGGGACGTTCTGGTAGCACTCCTGAAGATGCCAGGGTCTGAATCCAGGCATTTGCTCTGCGTGCAGGCAGAGAGAGGGGAGGTGCCAGAGAGGGCCATCTCACCTGGAGGTTGTAGGGGGCTACAACAGCGATGTCTTTCGCCTTCACACCAGCTTCCACCAAGGCGTGGATGTGCAAACCCGTCAGCTGCACCTCCCCTAGGGCAGAAAGCAGAAGGGACGGTGATGGGAACAGGCTGGCAGGCAGAGGCCGAAGGCACCAGCTCAGACATGCTGAAGCTTGAAGAAATTTGCCCACCTCCCCTTAGACAGCAGGGAGAGGCTGAGGGAAGGCCTGCCTGCAGTGCAGCGGAACGATTCCCAGCCTGGCTTGCCTGGCTCGACAGTGACGTGCTACGCAGCCCGGCTCCAGGGCTCCACAGTGCCTTGCCTCTTGCCTTTCCAAGTCACCAGCTCACCTAAGAAGAGCTTCCTGAGCAGCGCTTGGCTTTCTCTGGCCTTCCCATATTAACCCAAGAGATCAATGATAATCCAGGCAATAGATTATTCTCCCTCTGAAGTGAGACACTAGACCTCACTAAAATTTCAATTCTTTACGCTGCGACTGAAAAAACTCCACCTTTCCTTTTTATTCTGCTTTTTTAAGTCCCCACATTTCTAAACCCCCACGACCAAACAAGCAAGCTGCACGCTCTGGTCCTGCAGGCAGCCTGCCGCAAACAACTGGCTATCCAGGATGACAGCTGGGTCAGAGAGATCTAATGAGGACAACTTAAATACAAATGTGAACTGCTTTACTGGTTTATTGGCTGGACTGACTTAACCCTCCGTTTTGCAGCAAAATACAGGTATAAACATCAAAAATCTGCAGTATGCAGCTCCAGAAGGCTGCTTCCCAGATTTTGGGAGATGTGGATTTAATCCCCTGTGCAAAAGCCATGAGTTATCTTTTTGGCTCTCCATTTAGGGACAAGAGCCTTTCTCTGTTGCGCAGGGCCCCAGGAACTGGTTTAGGGAAAAATGAGGGGCACTTAAACACTGGTGGATTTTCAAACAAAAGAAGGCAAAAGATATTTAAACTGGTAAAAACTGCCCTTGTATTTTACAGTCCATTGTCCCTGTCTTGCCAGAGAGGGGCTTGAAGCCGCAGAAATCTGCTGCTGGCATGAGATCTGCATTGGTAAGCAGAGAGGAAAACAAATGAATCCCTGAAGCAGGCAGCCCTGTTGCCAAATAAGCTTTTTGGCCACATGAGAGTGAATTGGGTAGAAAAGGCAGGGGCTTGGCCATCGGGGGAAGTGTGGGCAGCAGCCAGGCAGGCAGGGGTGGCCAGGGGTGAGGTGGCAGGACCCAGGCACTGCACATGGGGATCGGTCCCCTCCGGCACCGCAGAGCCAGGCTGGGCAGTGAACTTACAATCCAGGGGAAGATGTTGCCCTGAAAGCAGAGTCTCACCTCCTCCAAAGCCAAGGCTTGGTGGGCCCTCCTAGCAATCCTTTTGCCAACAGCTTTCTGGGCTAAAAGCTCTCCCTAATGCTTTTAGGAGAGCTATCTCCGTAACAAGGTTGGGGTACGCTGATTGCCAGATGAAGCACCAGATTTTGGACAGCCTGTGTGCAGCGACACCTGGCAAAGGCCCTTGGTGAGCCTCTGAAGAGCCAGCTAGCAGGCGTGGAGGTACCACACTAAATCTGGAGGAGTGTGAGCAGCACCCCTGAACAGCAAATCCCAACCACCTGCCCTGCTGTGGAGGTGAGGACAGGAAGCAGGGAGCAGCATCATTTTCAAAGTTCTCCTGCTTTATTAGAATGGCTACAGAGCCTGACTTTACACTCAATCTCCATAATGAAACCTGGTATTTTAAGTCAAAAAGCCAGCAGGAAACTCAATGTCTTAAAAAAATTAATGGAGAAGAGCCAAACAAGGACTTTATGAAAGGAGCAGGAGACTGGGGAGCCATTCTGAGCCACGTCTACAGCCTCTCTAAAACAGGCTTGCACTCTGCCTGACATTATTTGCCCTGCCAACTTGTGTAAAGCGTCTGTCCCAGGGATCCCCCCTCACTGTCACAGTTCACAGTATGGAGAAATGGAGCAAGGGAACAAGGCAGCCAGCGTGGCCACCCACAAGCTGCACACTGTCATCGTGACCCTGTGGCCACCCTGCTCTGGCACAGAGTCCTTCGAGCTTGAGGATTTATAAAGGAAATGATCTCTTAACTAAGCAAGGCTCCCTGGGACTCCACCTTCCCCCTGCTACCTGCTCTGGAGGAGGACATCTCTGGGACTTGGCTCAGCTGGTGCAGTGGCCAAGCCTGTGGGAGGCTGAGGACCTCAGACAATCAATTCTGGCCAACAAAATTTTCTGAACAATGGTACCTGGATTCCCCTTAGACTGTTCATCTTCCACTTCCAGCTCAAACAGGCCACAGTCAGCAGTGTCTATAAGCAATAAGGGAATTGTGGTCTCTTCTGTAGAGGTGACACCCAGCAGGTCCCTGCACAAGGTATTTGGGAAATAGCCAGTTAAAAACGCTGAAATTATGCCAAAGGAATGATTAGTTTGCTGTTGCTTACTCCTCCCAACAACACTGCAAGGACAGAAGGAAAACCTAGCTGGCTATCGCTTCCAAGGGACAAGGCCACAGACCAGCAGCGGGGTCCTGTGGGGTGAAAACACAGCCAGCCTGGCTCTGGAGGTGGTGAAGAACAACAGAAAGAGAGACCTGAGGTTCCCCCCTTTCTGCTCCGCCAAGCGTTGGTCCCCTTTGCACCTGCAGTGATGCTACTGGAGAGCATGTCATGTAGAGCACTAAGCAAGCAGGGCCCTTTCGCTCTGGTGGGGTCCTCTGGCTTCCAGCTCCAGGCTTCCTGGGTTCAGTGCCAGGACAGCAGCCACAGCCAACAGCCCAGCAAGGCCTGAGAGGCCCGGGGGAGTCTGGCAACGCCAGCAAGCCATAGCTGAAAAGCCATCCTTGCTCTGCACCACGGGATTGACACTTAAACGTTCTCCTAAAATGCAAATGAAGAGCCCTGGAGAGTCTCACAGGGGCCAGCCGGCAGCACCGAGACCTTTCTCACCGGCTGTGCTACACAGCCAGTTATTGCATGGCAAGGGTACAGTGTGTGGGTGTTAGTGTCTCGCTTAAATGGCCTTGAACAGGAACGATATGCAGACCTAGGGAGATGTGGCAGCTGCTCTCTGTTTTTTATGGTGCTGAGAGGGAGAAGGAGTGCCTGAAGTATTACCAGAGATTTGACAGCAGTGCTGTCAGGCAAGAAAAGAAAGCGCAGCACAAAGAACCACAGAGGAACTGGGGTTTCACATAATTTCTACATCTAAAGCTGCTGCATTAAACAAAAAAAGTATTAATAAACCATATTTTAATACCCAAGGAAGTTGATGGATGAATTCACAGCCTAAGAAGAAGAGGGGCAATGGAAGGCAGGGATGGAAAGCCTGGAGATGGCAGGAGTGCTCTGGAACAACGACATGTTACTGTATATCAAGTACAAATCACGGAGAGCTGTGACTCCAGAGAGTCTGCAATAAACAAGGCAGATGGCAAGCCATCAAAAAGGAGGGTTACCTCCAAATGACAGGCAGGAAAGGGAGGGTAAAAGCAGTTTCCAGTTCAAGACAAGCCCCCAGCTGCAGCCTCTCCTTCCCAGGACTCCCAGCACTGCTCCTCTGCATTGGTATGCCACCGACTGCCCTCGCTTCCTGTGGACGTTACTTACTCCATTGACAACAAAAGTCTCCTCTCCTGACTGAAATTCATTTTTCTTCTGTCTGAAGCTATTGCTGTTGTAATGCATGGCTGGGAAGGTACAGAAATCTGTGCAGCTATGACAGGGCGCCAAAGCTCCTGCAAAAGAGCCTGGGATGCACCTTCTCCAGTCCTACGGCCAAGCAGAGCCCAAGGGAAGAGCCTTTCCCCCAGCTTTGGGGACTGGCTGCCTCAGACCAGCGACTGGACCCAAACGAAGGCACAAGGTATCTTCCCCATTTCCAAGGACCGCAAAGACCAGCAACCAGCGTTACTTTCCACGATCTTCTCTGGAACAGGGGCACCTCCAGTTCCCCGTTGGATTGTTTCCTCCCCTGTGGAGGGTACAACAGGTTTATCTCCCCCTCTTTGTAACATCAAACCAAACAGGCTTCCCATCTCCTTTATACCTGCCCTGCTTACTGTCCTACCACTGTCCATGTTTGTGCAGATGAAAGACTGAGCAAAAGCCAAGTTCTCTGTGTAGATAATCCCCATTCTTTGCCTACTCACAGTGGCCATGGAAAGCCCTTGCAGCACCTCTCAGTGCCAGGAAAAGTCTCGACCCCAGGAATGTCGCTTCAGAGGAGTAATTATCCACATAAATCTTTCAAGTGAGAGAAGAATTCATGCTCTTCTAAGGCAGTGAGATTGCAGCAGAACTGGCTATTTCCTTGGAGAAAAGCTGTCCAGTGCCTTCAGGATGAAGGGGAAAGGCACTTCTCCCACCTGCCACAAACTAGCCCAAGCTGCATAGATGGATTTTTGTTCCTGGAGAGATTCTTGGTCTGTGATGACAAACCAGGTTGTCCCTGCAGCCAGACACTGGACTCAGGCTCGAGGCACTGCCCTAGGGCATGCAGGCACCCTGTGCTTTGCCTGGGAGGACGTGATCCCAGCTGGGTCCCAGCACATGCAACCGAGGGGCATTCTGGCTTCTGAGCATCTTCTAGGTCTCACACTACTGGAGGGGTTCCCCCACACTCCCCATCAGCAAGGGGGTGTTAGTCCAAAATAAAGTGCTAAAGGAAGGGACACCTGATGCTGTACTTAGATAAAAACTGACAGCAGACACAGCTGGTGATTCTCAAACCATCTTCTCACAGACTGAGTCACAAATTTTGTATGTGAAAAGTACTGCTTGCAGCCTCCCTGACATAATTCTGGAGACGTGTGGGGACTTCTGATGTGCTTCGTCACCCATTTCAGAAGGAAGGGAGATTTGGGAAGAAGGTTTTGCTCCCTTGGAAATACTCTGCCCCTGAAAAGATACTGCAGGAAACCAAAGTGTCCTTTTCTGAGAAAAGATGGTGCTGCAGAAATCTCTAACAGATCACAGACCAAGCATTCCCAAGTGCCTCCAATGTCAGAGCAGAAGTTGGTGAGGAAATATGAAGTCGTTTGGACCAAGTCTGATGTCGATGGGACCAGTGGTGGGACACACACTGGCCCTCATAATGTGGAAACACAATAAAAGACTGATGCCTGGTCTTACTTTCAACAAGAGCCTGAGATAGAGAAACTGCTTGGGGTATGCTCACTGCATGTCAGGCCTTCACATCTTCTCTCCAGGTGCAACAGGATTTTATTTCATTGCTTATCATATCAAAGGAAGAAACAGAAGATAACTCTGCACGACTTCTTGTTCCATAGGAAAAAAAGACAAACCACCCTCCACCCTCCTCCAATTAGTGTTTCCTTGATGAAGTAAAGGATGAAACGGAAATGCTGTCACAGGGCCAGGAGGAATGGAAAACTGCATCATTGGGAAGGGACAAACCCTGCATGCGGTGGGATGAAAAAGGCATCTCTGCTCAGATAGCAGTGAAGGGCACGTCACTTACTTGAGCAAATGCTGGGCTACTGATGGGTGAGCAGTGAGCCGGCCGCTGTACATCTCCAAGGACGCCCACTGCATGATGGCCTGGTGCATTCGGTACTGCACCGTCAGCATCTTCACAATCTTCTCCCCGTACCTCTCGATGAGACGCTCCATCAGGCTGAGTGAAAGGCCCTTGGCAGCAGCCCTGCGTGGGAGAAACAAGTCACAAGTGGAGCCTGGATGTCTGTTCTGAAGCAATGACCTGAGGTCCAGATGTAACCCCCTTCGGACTAAAGGCTCGACCAGCGCCTCGCTGCAGGCGCAGCCCCGGCAGTGCTGCAGCTGGAGCAGAACGCAGCGCTGCCCAGTGCTCGGGGGGTTAAGGAGCAGTGCAGTGGGAGCACCCGCAGTACCTGCTCTGGACCCTGCTGAGCACCCTCATGTTGGGATGGACTCACCTCCCTGCCCTTCCCGCTCTGTTTCACTTGGATACCAACAGGCGGTGGGTGGAAAGGGAGCAGGAGAAGGCTGCAGGGCCTCAAGCGTCATCTTTCAGCGTAAGTTCTCCAACAAGGTGAAGACCTCCAGGGACAGACTTCTGCCTTGCACAGAGATCAGGTCAGCTTGAACACACCAGGGTGGAGAGAGGCCTGCTTCCCTTTCCCGGGGGGAATGCCTAAGGGTGCTGCCACTGTAACGTGAGAGATGCAAATGGTATCCGCTATCGCCACCTGCACAGCCCCTTCTCACAGCCAGGTCTGCTCAGTGTGGTTGGAATAAGGTGGGTGAGGATGCCCAAGATCTTCACTGAGGGAAACCATTCCTGAACAAAAACCTCTTAACCTCTTAGCTCATCCCACCAACAACCATATTCATGCTGCTCATAACAAACTCTAGATACTGCATCTGTCAGTGCGACGTTACACTCGCGTTACTGCAAGCTCAGCAGCGGCATCAGAATCACCTAGTGCATTAGTATCAGAGCTGGACCCCAAATCTTGAAACGCTTGATGTCAACACAGCCAGACCTTGCTAATGCTTCACTGAGACACGTGCCGCTCAAGCATTCTCATTACTCCTTGGCCACTCACCCCAGACTAATGCACTAATGCATTTCAGCACTGATTGCTTTATTACCCATTAAGAAAACCAACACTCCATTACTTCTGGCAAAGGTCCCATGCTTATATCTGTGACACAAATTAATAAAGCTCCTAATGAAATAAATCTTTCAGAAGCCTAATTGCTTTTTCTTTGCTGTACAGAAAGGACTTGTTAAAGCATCACCTAACGGTACCGTCTGAGGAAGAAGGACAAAAATCGTTGTACTCTGATTTTGTGTTTTGAGAGTTTCAGCACATATAGAGTTTTTTCATGCTGTGCGTCCAGCGCCTTGTACAATACTGTGGTTCATGGTGAGGGGTTCTGGCTGCTACCAGAATACAATGAACAAGCACAAAGATGATGAAATGATGACAGAGAACATCTCAGGAAAATTATTTCCGTCAAGGCTAAGGGGCACAGCACGCATCCAATTACTGCCGTGGGAAGCATTACATTACTACATGGCACCACAGCAAGCTTCTTGTTTGCTGTACTGGCCAGCCCTGTCATGTTAACCCCAGGGCACTTGGTAAATATAACAAGAGACTGCAAATTCACTGAAATGGCAGAGGAGAAAATTGAGGGTAGATCTTTCCGAGATGTCAAGTTTCATCAGCCCTCCTTCTTGTTAAATCACAGAATGTAGCACACGGGGAAAAAAACAGGTCATAAACTCTGAATGGATGCAACTGCAGGACTTCAGAGACAGCACTGCTTTTTCAAAGGCTGTTGTAGCGTTAACGAGCGTTGAACAACACACACCGGCGCAGAAGCCAGGAGGAGAGTTGCCAGGTTTGCAATAAGGACATTGTGCTTTATGCAACAGAGGTTTCCAGCTGCGCCGCACATTTTGCTGCTGATCGTGACCTGCACTGAGGTTGGCCATGAAGCCTGCACAGCTTCCCGGCCCCAGCGCTGCTGCTGCTGCCCTGGCACAGGTGAACTTACAGAGGCCCTTACGCTCCCAGCTGAGAGCGTGGGATGAAAGCCAGGGGTGGGTGAAAAGCAGTCTGTCAGAAGCGGGCTGGGTTTTCGGGAGGGGAAGGGGATTAGGTGGCATGAGGGGAAGGAGCAGGGCATAGGGCTGGGGAGCTCATGCCAGTTACCAGAAATTAGCTTTTCTCCTTCCAGGCTCACAACTGCCTGCAAAGGCACTGACAAGCTGATCCTCCCAGCTCTGCTCTGCCCCGTGGGGCATGCTAAAAGGCAGCGCCGATCTCCTGGACAAGTAGGAGGGGAAGCAGTTTTAACAGAGCTGGCTGCCCTCAGGTGCGGGCAGCTACCTGACATAGCCATTCCCTTGGGAACAGCCCTTCCTCCTGCGTGACTGGGGAATCCAGGCACTCAGAGCCCACCTCTCACCTGGTCTTTGCCTAGAGCGTGACCACGATCACCAAGATAAAAATGCTTCTGGTTCCTTCCACCAGCCACCTCCTCCTGACAGGCAAATGGCAAACCCAGCCAGATATTGAGTCACCCCCAGGTGCTGTGGCTCTCAGGGCCGAGAGGGCACCAGGAGGCTTTAACGGCCCTGCCCAGCCTCACCTGGGACCCACAACCCCGGCCCACGGGCCCTATTTAAGCTCAGCACTGGCCCTTCAGCCCCTGCCTGAGTTATGGCCTAGCTCTGGCTCCTGCATGGAGAGATCTACAGACCGTGGACCTATGCTGCAAGTTGCTTTGATCCTGTCTAGCTGTATCTTCTAGACAGATCCTGGACCCACATTACGGCTCTGTTTCTCACCCACCTCCTGACAGGACCCCCTGGACCCGGTTCACAGCTTGCTGGAGCTGTTGATGAACCCAGTTGCCAGCCCCTGGCTCTGCCCATTGTGCTCAGACCCCATGGGACTGTGTCCTGCTGCTGCTCCTGTCCTTCGCTGGGGCCAGACGCTGACTGTGGTGGTCACATCAGGCACCGCAAGTGAGGCCTGAGGGACACCGAAATAGGAGGCTCTCAAAGTCTTAAGGGATGCAGTAGGCTTAGCCCTACCAACCAAAGGTACCTCTCATTTGCTTTTGTCCTTTACTCCCCCCGCTTCTTGGCTCACAAATTCTTGCAAATTTAAGAGCAAGCCTAAATCTGATTTTCATGCAGAACTGGCAGGAAAACCCTGGTGTTTTTTACCAACAAATATTCATAGAATCATACGAATTCTGAAGTATTTCTTGTAATGATATACACTAAAGCATGGGGGAGGCATTAAGCCTCACAGCAAGCCTCAGAAATAGTGCTTTTCTTTACACTAACAGCACAGTTTCCACTGCAGGGATCTACATGAGGTTGTATGTTGAATTAATAATGAGGATATTAAACTGCTTGTGAATTTTTCACCTGTTCATAAATTTCCTATTATTTTACCGCTCAATTAATTTCTACAGTGGTTGATTTCTATGCCAACAAAATCATAAGAGCACTGAGCAGAACTTTAAGTATCAATTGCTTTAGAGAAATTAAATTGGGATAGGAGGTTGGACAGACAGAATCATGCATGAGATGCTCAGGTGTATCTACTTTAAAGTACCTAAAGTAAAGCTAGGAAAGCTAATATTACTGAAATAAGCCCCCAGCAGCCAGTAGTTGCTGCTAACTTGGTTTTTGCCTTGCTTCACTCGGTAGGAAAAGGCTGCACTTGGTTCAAATGCACCTTCCCAGGGAGGTGGGGGGGTACCAGGAGAGGTCTCCGGGAGGGAGGATGAGGCCCTGCTGCTCTTTTCAGGCAGGGCTTCCTCCTCCAGCTCTTGGAAGAAATGCTGCATGTGAATGGCGATAGCTGCAGCCAAGCAGAACCAACTATTTCATAGGCTTTTGTGCCCACCATGGTGTGAAATATCCTTTACGGGCCGGGTGTGAGGAGTCACCTTGCCATGTGGATGTGGATGTCAACGCTGACCACTACTAGGGGGAACAAAAGGGAAGTGTTTCCCACAGAGGGATGGAGCTGTGCCTTCTGTCATTTATAGCTTTTCTTATTCATCCTCTGGATGGCTGGTGTCCTCCCTAAGAGACAGAAGATGATGTTGGTGTGACTTTGATCTCTGCTGTACAACACCAAATTCAGACAGCGAAGTCTGGAGAAGGATGTCACTGTTTTCCTACCTGAAGAACTCTGCATTAAGCTCTTGGATGGCAAACCCAGGCTTTAATCCTTGCAAATACGATGGAGGAGGGTAGTTTGTTCTTTCTGGCTGTGGATGTTACCAGAGAAAACCTGACACTTGCTCTGCAGTGACAAAGCAAAGGAAATCCATTTGGACCTGATGTGCAAATCCGGAAACTACTGAGCATGGGGGACTAGCACATGGAGTTGGGATGGTGGAGACGTCCAGACTGACTGCTAACAAACAAGACGGCAAAATATTCCGTGCTTGCCTAAGAAACCAGTTGAGAGCAAGAGGTCTGATAAGTGTCTGAAGATATCTGAAGAGTGTAAAAACAAATTAATAAATCAAAGCCCTGATGTGGAGACAAATTAATTAGGATGTCAGAAAAGGATGGAATGAGGACTAAAATGAAAACAAGGAAAACAAATGTTCCTGTCAGACAGCAGAAAGCGTCTTGGCATTGAGATGCCCCCTGGGACCAGGCCAAAACCCAGCAGGAGGCTTGAAGCTGATGTCCGTGAGCTTTGGAGAGGGCTGCTGAGAGAGGAACAGCAGGGGACTGGCATTTGCCATTGCTGGGAGGTCTTGCAGAAGAAATACATCCAGCACGGACAAGATGTAGGTGAATGTACTAAGGTGTGTCTGGGGATGCCCTCTGCATCCTGAGATAATTCCAGCTATGTCAAAAAGCAAGAAAGAGGAGCACCCTTCAGACTGGGCACCAAAACTCCCTTTGCCTTGAGAAAAAAGCCTGATGATACTAACTGATAAATGCTGAATCCATGGGGGAAAAAGCAGGTAACAAGAAGGCAGTTCTACCAGACAGGCCCCGGCTCCCCGAGCTGAGCAGAAGCTGTGTGGAAGCCTAGCTGTCTGCTCACATTGCAGTATGGCTCCTACAAAGCATCAAAGTATTCTTGTTGAAGCAGGAAGCTGCTGTTAAACAGCACTGACTTCACATCCCGTAGTAACAGACGATCCTTCTGGCAGCCCAGATTCATCCCAGCTAACTTTAGACCCTTCTCTGAGACCCTGAAAATAGGAGTCCACCCACTTCAGGTCTGCTGTCATCAATGGAGGAGAAGGGGAAGGTAGGCGGAAGGGTTTGAGTCTTCTGCATGAATCATCCCTGGAAATAGCTTATCATTTTCCATTAACCAAAGAGGAGACAGCAGGTGATTCGGTGCCTTAATTAGATCTCTGGAAATACCTAACAAGATGGAGTTAGAAGGAATCTGCCTTTGTGTGGCATTTCATAGCCTGCAGGGACTGTGAAAAGTGCAAAGCCGTGCTCTCCAGAGTCTGCTTTATTTGCATCCGGCAGGGGGACAGTGCTGTAAAGATGAAAGCTGTGTTATGGGCCTTGTTCAATGCAGCAAATGCTTTTACCCGGGCAGCAATTAAAAACAAGGCCAGAGTGTGGATCTGTAAGGAAAAGAGCTAATAATTTTAAAAGGCATTTATCTGAAAAGTAATTGGATTTCTCAAAATAAGTTGTTCTAACTGATCAAAATTTGTTAGCTTTTGCATTTAATTAGGAGGCTATTGAGTCAAACTGTCAGCTGCTGTAGCTGGACCTCCCTGTGCATCTTTTCCAGAACAGGCTGGCTGGGGAGTTTCACTAAACAAGAAAGAAACTCTTTTCTTTCATCATTAGGCAGTTTTTGCTTTGTACCAGGATAACACGTGTCATCCCATGTATTTTCTACATGACCAATACTCTGCATTGTGCTATTTAAACCCTTTGCAGATTCAACGTTTCCTGTATGATATGGGATGAAATGGGGTGAGTAATCATTCTTCCCCCTTCATGCTGTTTATTCAAATCGTAACAGGGACCATTTCTCATTATATACACCCTGTGTAACACATCAGGATACTAGCTAGAGTTTTCCAGTGCTAAACTAACGTACTTTAATAACAAATGTAAAAAGCTGGCTTTTCTCTGGTGACCTCCTGTGTGGCTTCTCTTCTAGCCACCACTCTGGTTGAGTTCATATGGTGGCTTTCCCCTGACTGCAGGAACAAACTCAGGTCTTGGCTTTGGTATCTATTTCTTTGGAGCTGAAGACCTCCCAGACATTCGTACTTTGATGGATTTGCTTCACGTTAGCTAATAGGTTTCAAGAGTTACTCGGGGAACTGAAAGACTGCCGGCTGGCACAGGCAGCAGCATCGTAGCACTTTGCCTTTTGGGCTAAACCAGAGAGACCTGCCTGGAGAGCTGCAGCATTTGAGAGCACAGCCCATAATTCTTCCAAATAAGCTGAAGTCTGCTTGGCTTTTTGCACTTTGTCTTCCAAAAGGCAGCTGTCTGCGAGGCTGAGCTCTGGTGACTGGTGGCCGACCACCACTGGGGTCACGGACCTGCTGATGCCTCGAGCAATATATTTTGTTTAATGTAGCAAGCTTTTCAGATCATAATTTACTGGTAAGCCAGGCTGAGATATAAATCTGTTAACACTATTGATTCAGACACACATTCTCTCTGCCCTATTTTATTTTAAATCTGTTGAACTTTAGGAAGGGCATAGAGTGACACAGTGTTTAAACATCCCTACGGTTTCTCGTCCAAAAGGGATTACCCCACAAGAGGTGGGAGCTGACCTAACAGCTGACTTGCCTGCACAGTTGGTAACCCTGACAAGGTTGAAGAGCCAGAAGATCTGGCTTCTACCCACACTCTCTTAATTTTACAACGACCAGTTCTCTCTGCAGCTGGGATTTTAAAAACATGGAAAGAAAACATGCAAAATGCACAACAAAACTGTCAAGCTGCTCTTGAAGAAAAACAATGGGAACAGCAAGGACAAAAAGCTTGGTCCAAGTCATACCCATAGGATCTAAGGAGCAAAACAGTGTTTCTGATGGAGAAAGAGGACATTATGATCAGCTGTGACCACAGGAGAGATGTAAAACTAGTGGCAGCTTTCCACAGCAAAGCCAAATGAACTCAAGACTGAGGGAGAGAAAAGCACAGCTCCTCAAGCAGGACCAGGAGGTGATCCAGGAGATCTGCAGCAGATGGGTCCTACCAGTGAGGAGCTTTTTGCTGTTGGCTCCAGGACACAGTACCAGCAAAGGCTCCTGGCATCAGCCATCGTGACAGAGCAGAAGCAAGCAGCTGGGCAGGTGGTATAATGTTTTTGGAGCTCTTCTGAAGAAAATCTGTTTCATTTCAAAGAGGGGCCAAAACTGACATTAGTTGAGCGTTAGACCCGTTCACCCATAGTAACAGAGTTGTTTTTTCTACTATGTTTTGCCCTTCATCTGACAGCCTTGGGGAAAAATAAGTCTTTAGGCTCTATTCCTGGGCCTGAGCATCCCTGTCTGCCTCACTGGCACATAGTTCCTGCCTGGGGACCACTGTGACTGATTGGTGAGCATTTTCATCCACCTAAAGCTTCTGATCTTGTAAATCAGCAATGCTGTGGCAGGAGCCCAAGATATGAGCAAGTGCACTTCCAGCCTTGGCTAGCCAGGTGGCTTCTGCATAGAGGTGAAATTATCTACTCCCAATTTACAGAGGGGGAAAACCTAGGCACAGAGACACAGCCTGCAAACTCACGGTAAATAAACAGAGAGACGAGAAGGGTAGGGGGGTCTGGACTGGTGTTTTGCAGTTCACCAGCCTAGACATGTCCACCAGACAGTGGAGGAGCGCGCTTATCACCTGCTAAGATCTGCAAAACAACAAGCATTGGTCCATCTGATAACAGCAGAATGATACAGAGCCTTAACGTTATTTGTGCCATCTCTTAGCCACCTGCTGGGAGCCGCTGCCTCTCTTGGATTTTTCATTTCCCTTCTTCAAAATTCAAGTGAGATTATAGATATGTATCTTGCTCATTATTTTTTGGAAGCAGGAGAGAGTGTTTGATGTCAACCCGGTTTCTCTGCTTCTGTACAATGACGGTTCAGTAGTTCCAGAGCTAGATAAACATGTGCACATTTATATTTTAAACTACCTAAAGGCTCCCCAGTACTATTTGGACTATTCCCCTTGAAGCACAGGCAATTTATGCTAGCCACAGATCTTTTCCACAAACTCATTGTTCTTAATACACGTGTTGTAGGTATTGTGAGGTTTTATAATCACTGTGGTGTGTGTGATAATGCAGCATCTTGGTGGGCCAACTCCCAAATTAATACATTAAACAAAAAAATGTGGAACCACAGAAGCAGAATTTAATAAAGAGAAGACAAGACTTGGATTAAACTGGGTATGAGCCTGAATTCACTCTCCAGAGCGTGCAGTCAGCAAAGAGGAGGTAAACCAGGCCATTCTTGCCAGGGTCAAGGAAACCTCATGTAGAAAAACAGATCATCTTTCTTAAAAACAAACATTTTGAAGTTTATACATAAATAGTGGCCAGTGAAAACAGAACTTGTGCCTCTGTTTTGTTCACCTTCTATTTGCTTACCATTTTACTACTTTGAATGGCTGATGTGATTGTTTTAAACTGTTTTTTGAATAACTTTTCTAACCACTCTGAAAATTACTTTGCATAACAAAGAGAAAACAAAGAATTCAAACACAGTGTTGCTAAGCAAGTGGAATCGGAAAAATATCTCTGTTGATGACATGACTCTCAGGAAAAAACATCTGTCAATATATACACAATTTTGTGTAATCCAATAGTAGTACATAGCGTAAGTACTCCTCACTAAAGAGCAAGACCAAAGCAAACAACGCAAGCTCAATGTATTGAATTCTTTGGAGCTGAGGTGTGTTTTGGGTGAGTGATGGAAGGATGCGGACGAGCAGACAGAAAGCAACCATCAATCCCCCAGCAGTACCAGCCAGGACAGCGCCCTCTGAATTCGTGCTGTTTATCTGCTGTGAATCTCGGCAGCACGTGCCCCTTGCAGAGGCCACGGCAGTGAGAGGGAAGGGCCCCGTGTTGTTACCAAAGCTTTTTGAGCAGAGCTCTTTCCATGATGCTGCAGAGATGCCTCTGACATCCCCTGTGGGACAGATCTCCCTGAACCACAGTTTGGCGTGAGTTTCTGCCCATTCTTCCTGCCTCACTGCGCTCACCCTCCTTGTCTGCCCTGCTTTTCTGCAGAGGATCCTCTCCGTTGTGGGTACACAACTCCCAAGTAAATGTGGGACAAGGGCAGAAGGCGATCTCAGAGAAGGCTGGGACTCTAACTGCTGGGTCATGTCCCTGATGCAGCTTAAAGGACCTCTCCAAATGAGCACAGCAGTGTTTCGAAGGCAGACAGCTTCCTGTCTCTCTCTGAGCAATTTCTCCCACTGCGAAGGGCCAGGGCCTGGTACAGAATCACCTTCTGTTTCTGAGGTTTGCTTTAGCAGCTCTACCAAGGTAACTCACCTAGGGTTCTTCCTACAAAACTTGGTCCAGCGTGCAGGGTCCTGCAGGTCATATCTCTGCTCCCTCATGGACGAGAGCCTCAAAGGCAAGGGGCACACACCCCTGAGAGCTCCCAGCAGCTCCAGAGGCAGCTGAAGGCTGCCCGTTGGATTACTCTTCCTGTCTGCAAACTCAAACCCCTTGCAAGCCCTGGAGCAGCTGCCCAGCAGGCACTCATCAGCACAGAAGGCGACTCTCCAGCGCCCTGCTGCCTACACACGCTTTGCTATGATGTGGCTCAGTCAGCAGCAGGTAAAACGACCAACTGTCACAGCCCCGTGCGATAAGAAAGCCTGCTCACACAGAGCTGTGTTAAACCTTAAGCAGTAAAGCTATCAGTAAAACAGGTCTGGTGTAACTCTGACAGCGTGACCAAACCCAACTCACGGGGGATACCAATAATCCACATTAACGAACTGTCTTGACATGTGAGGCACTCAGAAGCATTTGGCTGCATAAGAAACAGGAGGACCTGGGACAACAAACCGCTCCTTACTTGTGAGAGATGATGGTGGGGGGAAGCTGTTTGTGATCCCCGGCCAGGATGCACTTTGGAGCCTTCAGCAGAGGTATCCAGCAACTGGCTTCCAGGGCCTGAGCACACTCATCTATCACCACGAGATCAAAGTGATTTTCAGGGAGCAGCTTCAGTGGGCCATCAGAGGAAGCACCTAATTAAAGGAGAAGGTGCACAGCTTAGCAGGGGAGCACAGAAGAGCAAGCAACCTGTTTCTAAAACAAACCACACATACTTTAATTGTGATTGAGGGAAGCAGGTAAAACAATGTTTCTTCACAGAGGCTTAGAAATTCAGCTCTGTAGTCCATGCCAAATATGTATACATTTATACGTATATGTCAGAAATAGTTTTGCCAATTTCTGTTTGTCCTTTTTGCCCTGGCATCTGGGCCCAAAAGCTTCCAAGTGCCTTTGAAAACAAGCGAAGCCCAGATGACAAACAGAACAATATGCTCGAATACTTCACTCGGAGCAGGAGCGGAGCAAAAGCACTAGTGAACACCCACTTCCCTTCTGCCCTCAAATGCAAGCAAAACTTCACACCAACCAAAAACTGAAAGGATGATGGCCCTGACATTCACCGTGCCTGATACGCCGAGGGACACCCCAAGAGGGAGAGATCAGTTGAGACCCTGACTCCTCTGCCCTGCTACCCCGGCTGTGCTGCTCAGTCCTTCCTCGTGGCAGCCGGAGAGGGGAAAGCACAGGAGGCTGTAAGCAGGCAGCCATGGCAAGGGCTGTTTTTTTACATCAGACATCCATTTGTAATGTGAAACAAATAACCCTTACACACGTCCTTCTATAATGCAGGCATGAACCAATATTGATCCTCGCATTGATCAGAATGGTGAATTTGAGAGGCATCAAAAATATCGCTGCAGTTCAAAAGAAAACGGGATGTGAAAGGACAAGAGGAGGATTAAGAAGCCAGCATGCCAGACATGGAGAATTTTATTCATGGCGTTCACAGAAATGTTTTTTCAAAAGTTCCTGTGCTATTGCAGTGTAGCTCTGAAAGGAGCTCTGATTAGGGCTGATTTTGCTTTGCCGCTGTAAATCCTGCTGCCTCTACAGCTTTGCATCAGTTCAGATGTCACAGTCTGTCAACTGAGACACTGTGTTTTCCTTTAAAAACGTTTTTTCCAGCCTATACGAATCCACTCTGGTAACAAGGGGCTTAGAGTTGGAACTTGACTTTTGCAATTTTGCCATGCTGAAGGTGAAAGGAAAAGAAATAAGTGGAAAGGTTATTTCTATCTAAAAAAGGCTGTACCAACGTGGTACACAGCTGTGCAGATGGTTTTCTTCCCTTGCAGCTTGACTTGAGTTTATCGAACTTCCATTAACTAAAGGTCACTGGTGTCCCTGTGTGTTGCCATGATTAAATTCTCTCTCTGCTGAACCTAGCAACAGAGCAGTTTGGCTTGCATAAACAGTAATTCCCATCAAACTATGTGGTTTCAGACAAATACCAAGGTTGCTTAACTGAGGAAAATACAAACTCCAAACCCCTTGTTTGTCCACCACCTTTTGCTGAAGCAGAATTGCACACACTGCTACAATGGCTAGCAAGCCCCAGAGTCCCAGGAGAGAATCACATCTGATCAACACAATGGTCAGCACAAAATACCAGTTTTACTGAAAAAAGGAAACCTCCCCCTGTTTTTTCAGGCAAAGTTAAAAGTGGGAGGCCAATTCCCAGCAAATAATGCACTGGAAGGATTTACCTTTCCTTTAACCTTCATACTAGTAACTTGTGAATGCCCCATGAGGTTCTTTTGTGTGACCTAAAATTATTGGTGTTTCCCTCCAGCAAATAATCCCTGAGCAACCAAATCTGAAGATTATAAGTGGGCCCTGGAGTGTTACACATCTGATCTAGAAAAACACTTTAGCACATGTCAAACTTTAATCACTTATGCTCCCCTTCAATCACAAGGGTATTACTTTCCTACTTGTCCATGCAGATGTGCATACCTGTGCTGCCTGACGAATACCTGGAACTGTTCCCTAAATTCCACATTGTTTACACCCCTTGGGTGACTTACAGAACTAACCAAATCCATGCAGACTGAGACCAGGCTATGGAAACATGTGCTGTATTCAATCAGTCGTGGAAATTATCCAAGCAGGAAAGCAATTCCATGTGACTTATGAAATCAATGAGCAGATTGCACACTTCCAACAGCACTTGTTTACTCACTGGAAGCTCAGCTCCTACTCAGAACTAACAAAGATGGGCAATGGTGGCACTTCTAGACTCATATTCTTTGCTAAACAACATCACGTGCCAGAGCGATGTTGTTTAGCAGGGAGAATCCCACCGTGGAGGAGTCTGAGAGCTTGCAGCACACTTGACTGAACTCCCAGGAGCTTGGAGCAGGAAGACTAAGTCTTCCTCCCATCCTGGCAGGATGCTGCATTGCAGGGCATATGGTTTACATGAGTCCTGGTAAGTGAGGTAAAATTCTGCAAAGAAAAAGAGGCTCTCGCACCTGTATTTGTAGCAAGGACAACATTGGCATGGGTAAGGGCTGCAGCCATGGCAGCTTCTTCTCGTTCCTTCAGCTCCTTTCTCAGTGCCTTGATCTCACTGAGAAAATGGCTCCGTTCTCCCTTGTCTTGAGCCTTCTTGGTTTTTGCCTGTAAAATAGAAAAATCAAGATAGACCAAACTGTTTCTAGTCCTATGGATGTGTTCAGCTTCTCAGATAACCAAAAATCCTGGATACAGCATAATCAGCCCCATGAAACCTTGGCTTCTCTTCTCTCTCCCTGCCAGAAAGCCCCTTCCACAATCAGCACTGCTTGAAGCATAAAGAGTATGTCTGTCTATGCGAAAGATGAACTATATCAATCCAACCCCAGGTTCTGAGCATGAAGCAGCAAAATGAGACTATCACTGCCCATCAGACCATCCAGGAGCATCAGGAGTAACACCATCACCCAGGGTCCTAACAGTGATTTCTGAGACTTAGTTGATCCATACTTAAACTCCTCTGGCTATACATTTTTATAGTCTTGATTTGTGAGCATAAAGTGTTGAAGAGTAACTCCCCGTCCTTAAATCCTCTGTTCAGTCCCTCCTGCTCTGCCCTGTACTTTCCCAGTGCCCTAAAGATCAGCAGGGAGGTCAGATGCTTCAGTCCATCTGGCAGCACAGTCTATGCACAAAGCAGGGACTAATGTATAATGGTGATTAGGTTTAATGGGAAGAAGGGTCTTGTGCCTTTGCTGGGTGAGGAACCGGGACTTCCCATCTCATTCTGTTGTTCAGAAGCAGAGACCCCCTGGCTCCAAGTGACCTTGAAGCAGGAGGGCTCCCCAAGTTGACTGCGCCATGTTCAGCCAAAGTATCAGCTTTGCATTTTTAAAAAGGTGTCTCTGAGTTGCTGTAAATGATTCAGAGAAGTATCTAGACAGGGTTATGGCTTTTTTTAGCAATGCCTATTAAATATATCTAACACATCAAATCATCACCACTGGTTGCTAGTGCTTCCCCGGTTACAGACCAGCAGCTACAAGACAACAGCCAAGCTATTGTTCACTGCAAGTCTCCTTGAGAAAGATACCCACGCTCTCAAATGGAAATTTGGATTATTTCCTTGGAAGGAAGGCTGATGACTTGAGAAGGCTAAAAGGTTGCAGACAGAAGCTTTTATAAGCAGCCAGACCAGTAAGACCTGATGGTTCCTATAATCACCCTCTGTATGGATGGATTCTCCAGTGTCTCACATGGTTCAGCTCATATTGCAGCCTTTCCCCTAAGACAGACATTCATGTGTCTCACCCCTCTACTCAGCTACCTGGTTTGGTTCTGCCTGTAGGTACTTAATACCCATGAAACCTCTACATGTCTGTCAAGTGTAGTCAGAGTTGGATGAGGGGCTCAGAAATTACAGGGGAGGGATCACAGACAGATAACATGATCACACAGGCATCTTTTCCTTAGCTTGATCTGAAAAAGACAGGGTGGGTGCCAGTCCTGATATTCGTTAAGCTGAAGGGACAAAGCAGATTAGCATCCGCTTCCTCTCTGCTAGAAACAGAGGAAGGTTAGAGAGCAAAACTGATGGTGCCAGTAGGGCTAAGTTTAATGTCTGCTCTGCCAAAAAAGATCTAGTTAGTAAATGAATAGCACCTGCTCTCTGATGTTGGCTGATGACACTGAGATGCAAATATCCAACTGACTCTCAGCTGGGACAGCAGCTGAGGGAGCAGGGAGCCCAGCCCCGAGGTGCCAGAGCACTGTCAGTCAGCCCCAAGGATGGTGCTTGGCACACTGTAGGCCAGGATCCCACTGACTCCTCGTTAGCACCCTGTGGGTGCCAGCAGGCTCTAATTGTCCTGACCTGCCTCGCTGGGGCCCACCCACCCACACTCACGGGGCTGGGGGCTGCATTTAAGGCCAGACCTTGGTGCTGGCCTGGGCCATAGGGTTTGTGCCCTGAGCCCTGCTTCCTTCCTGGGTCGATCACAGACCTGCCGCATCACTGTGGACCTGCCTGGTGGTCTGGGCTGCTGCCTGACCCTGCTCAACAACACTGGACCCACGCTGCCTTTCCTGCTCAGGTACTGTGGGACTGCACCCTTGTTGGTGCAAAGAGTATCCAGGTGCTGATGTCTTGGAAAGCTTGAACAGGTGAAGGAAGGAGACACAAAGGGGTAGAAAATGTGCAAAGAGAGCATGGATTTATATTACTAGTCTCCTGTGTTTGGTGGTAAAGGGGAAGAGAAGGAGTGAGAAGAGTCAAAATGTGGTGTGGACAAAGAAAGAAATTATTACAGGGGCAAGTAGGGGGCATTGCAGGGGAGAAACTGAGGCAGGATGAGGGAAAGATGGGCCAGGACCTCAGAGGTGAGCTCTCTGCAGCCCAGAGAGAGAAAGAGATGCTGCTGAGTCAGGTGCATTGTCTGTGAAAGACCCGATTGTGGGCAGCTCAAAGCATTGCTATACAAGCTGAACCGCAGCAGTATGTTAGCTCTGGGGTTTTTGTTTGGTATTTCAGGGCAGAACAAGCCTTGGTGGCTACTCCCTATCTCCGGCCACCATGTACCTCTTCCTCTAGGGAAGAAGCAGACACAGACCTTAGTGCTAAAGGCTTTATTTTCTCCCTAATTTCCCTTCTACTGTGGAAAATCAGTAGGGGAAAAAAACAACCTCCTCCCACCTCTCAAAGTGCCTCCCAATGAGAGGAAAGGGAAAATTAGTGACTAGTGAGAAAGATGCAAAATAAATTAAGAATAAAGAAAGTCTCACTGTAGAGCTGTGACTACAACCAGGTCTCCATTCCAGCAGATAAAGTACCTCCTTCAGGAACTCGTCTCTCAGCCACAAGTATGACTTTGCCCAGCTCTCAGAGGCCCTCTCCTTCCCTTACGTTATGTGCAAGAACAACCTGTCTGCCAAATGACTTCCTCAACTGCTCAGCAACAGAAACACTGGATGATGCGTAACCACGTTTGGAAAAACTGAAACTGGTGCCATAGTGGTGGCTGCAGATTAATGCTCATGGAGCTCAAAGCCATGTTTGGTCTGCATAAAAACGTAAACGTGCAGTGCCTTACTGAAGGGCAGGGCAATATACCTGGGCAACTATGACATGAAGATGTTCCCCTGCATCTCTGAGACAGGATCTCTCTTGAGCTGGATATATCTGCAAAATGGCTTCTGGACAATGCTGCCACCAGAAGGGGGAAGGGGGGAAGAAAGTCTTGTTAGTATCAAAACCTATCATCTCAAGTAAAAGAGCTACTTTGTAAATTAAGTTGAGGAAAATTAGGTTGTTAAAGAAGAAATTAAGGATGCATTTTTATAGTGTACTCTGCTTTCAACTTGAGGTGGCTGAGAGTGGGAGGGAGTGTCAGGACAGCCAGACATCTCGTTAGGAAGTGAATTAATGATGTGAATGTTTCTCTCGCTCTCTGGTGAAGCGGATTGCATGAACGATGCCAGACATAATCTGGAGAGCAGGGCACTGCAGCATCTCCCCACGCAGCAGTAATGACTGATTTTTCCACTTCAGTGAGGAATTCAGCTAGGAGTTCTGTCCTCAGCTCCTTCTACAGCAGATAAAGATGAGCACTGGTGGCAGGTCGCTGAGGAGGCTCAGGCAGCCCCTGGTACAGAGGCTCTCTGAGATTCCTCTTCAGGCTGGAAGTTTTCCCAATTCTAAAATTGCCAGGCTTGCATCCCAGTTCCCTTCCTCCAAGGATGGGTTAAATGCCTCCCAAGCGGGGTAAATGGGATTAATTCAGACCACACACATCTCCAGCTGTCACTGTTAGTCCCCTGCACTATGCTGCTTTTCTTTTCTCTCCCTTGAAGTGGCCTGTCAACTGTTGACTGACCAAAAAGGGAGGCTCATGCCCACCAATATTCTACCCCTCCCTATATAGAGTAAGATCCAGGCTGGGAGCATCACTGTGGGCTCATGGTGCCCTGAATCCACAAATACCAGGTTCAGCCAGGGTGTAGGCTGGGTGCCCGCTGCCTGTGGCTCACCTCAGGACTAGTCACTGTGACTTGCCTCTAGCCACTGATTTTGGGGCAACCCAGAGCCCCTGGCTGTAGCGATAGTCTTCTAAGAACACCCAAGAAGTGGCGGAGTTGTTCCTTTGTTTTAGAGACAAAGCAGCTTGCCTGGCTAGCAGATCAGCTTCTGCTAATCCAGAGAGCTGGCACTCAGGTAACCCCCACACGGCATGTTGCAGGGACACGTACAAAGGCCTGGTCGATGTCCTTCCTGATATCTGCCACGATCTCGGCATGGTCGCCACGGGCCAGGACTGCGTCCAGGGAATGCCGCTGGATGGGCTCCAGCAGGCGAGCAGGGTGCCCGAGCCGCAGGACACGGGCTTTGTAGCCAGCCAGCCTTTCCACCAGATTATCCACAGCAACGTTGGAAGGGGCACAGCACAGGACCTGCAAGGGGAGAAACCAAGTGCTTGTTACTGCCAAGGACAGCGAAACACTGCAGCAACAGTGTCTGTGCAGGAAAACACCCAGCAGAGAGGGAGACCAACACGTATCTATTGGGAATAAACCACTGACATCTCCACAGCCTCCAGACACCAACGGCAATTCTCACCTTGCTTTGAAGCACTAGTATAGGGTCTTCAATAAATAGCAAAGCTGAGCTTTACAGCTCCTATTTGCACCTAGCCTTGGTAGGAGAAGCTCCCCAGACTCCGCAGTGTAGCACAGCTGTTACTGGCTCTGCTCCAGCTGCCACAAAGACCAGCAAGTTTGCAAAAATCAACCAAGGCGATTGCTGTTCCTACAGTCCTGTCACCGATACTCACCTTCAGGCCTTGCTGTACAGCTTGCAAGATGATCTCTACCAGTGTTGTGGTCTTCCCTGTGCCAGGTGGTCCATGGACGATGGCAAGCTCCCTCTGCGCCAGTGAGAAGGAGACAGCGTCCCTCTGCGATGCATCCAGCGAGTCATTGTAAAGCTTTAGAGGCTCTGGGGAGAGAGCAGGAGAGTCGCTTCGACCTCAGCCCTAACTTGGGTGCTTGCTGAGAGGCACAAATCCATGAATACAAATAAGCATCTCTCAGTAGCTGGCCCAGATCAGTTTGATAATAACATTCTTGGGGAGAAAGGTACCATCTAGGTGGCTAAAAGAGCACAGACTGGTAGAAGCAAGGCTTGTTACGCCTTCGAAACAAACAGGCTACCCATCCTGCATCCGTGCCTTCCCTCTCCTCTCTCCTACCTTGCTATTTTACAGGAACAAGCATTCAGTTGTGAACACAGCTAGTCTGTACTGACACTTTTCAGCATTTGAAGAGAGATTTACCAGCCAGCACATCAAGCATTTAGGATCTCCCAGGTCTGGAGGGTGCTCTGGGTGTATATTAAAGGTGAGTCAGGTATTTAGTAAACCCTCAATAAAAAGAGGGGAGGAAGTAGTTGATCTTAGGAACGAATCACTCCCATTCCAGTTAACAAACCCAACACAGTGCTCATGAAAAAGCAGCAGAAAAAAATACAGTGTCTGTGAGCAGAAAAGAGCAGTCCTGTATTGTTCAGCAACAACTGAAGGGAAAGGCAGGAAAATGATCCAAACCGGCAATATAAATGATGCAAACCAAAATTAGTTTGAGCTTTAATGATCAGAAAGGAAAAAAGGGAAAAGAATACGTAAATTTCATTACAAGAAAATTGTTTTCACTGCAGAGGACCAAATCCTCACAAGCTGCTTCTTACCTCCCAGATTTATCTAATTTAAACCCATGTTTATGCTCATCCCCCATAATACTGCTGCTAATCTCCTTGTTCATTATGGAAGTTAATTACAGCAGAGATGATGACTCATTACACTGAGGTTTACCGAAAATAATGTTCCCATGAAAGCTTATATAAGACAAATCTCTGGGCATCGTTCCCTGCGGGGCATCATGTGCTTTATCACTAGCTTTGCATAAAGGGCTTGATAAAAAGCATGAAAGTTTCTTCTGGGTTTAGGCAGGTTAACTTGTGTGCAACTCCTGAGTAACCTCTGGCACTGACTTTTGAAGCAGCACAACTAAATGAGGTGTCCAGGTTAAACAAATAACATTTGCTAGAAAGATGCTTGGTGAGGAAGAGAGAAATGGGATTGATGATACTTCTTCCTGTTAACCTGCCTCTTGCTTTATACATAATTTTTGAGTTAATGTGCTAATGACTAAGTGAAGATTAGGAAGCATCCCATGGGCTGGGGGAAAAAAGAAAGACCAGCTTAAAAACTGAAAGGCATTTCCCACAATGAGGAACAGCCGGGACGTAGGAGTCATTGATATTTCCTTGCTCAGGGAATGAGATCAGAAACTGGCTTCTCCACACACATGCACACCCTCTTCCCTTTTAATCACACACTGCCAAAAGCTGCTGTGTGGGCAGGTTGGGAAATGTGCCTCTGTTCTGGGCTGGGCACATCAGTGGTGAGGAGGGGGGCAGAGCCTTTCAAGGGATGCTATGGCTGCTCTAAACTCTTTTTCATCTGCCAGCTGGGCTCTAAGTGGGTTCACCTGAAGAAATGCAGTTTATCCACTCCAGCAGGGCTGGCCCAAGAGCTCTCTATAAGCACTCAGTTTAGGATTTGCACAGATGCTCCCAGAAGATGCCTGTTAACACAGCTCTAGCCCTGTGGCATCAACTCAGCATCGCTGCCTCCTGCTCTGCCCAAGGCCATCCATCTCAGCCCCCCGACGCAGGCCATGGTGAGGTGAATGTAAATCTGCATCCTTGGGCCTGGCAGGGATGGGTCTCGCTGGTGGTCAGGTAATTCAGCCCCTGATGCACAACTCAATTTAGGAGTGTAGCATTGAGAAAAAAAAAATCGCCTTGGCCATCAAGGTCGATCCTCCAACAACATGGCCAGGAACTGAGACGCTTTTCTGCACAATACCAGCAGTTTGAATGAAGAAGTGGGTTGGAGGGTGATATTCAAGTCCAGGAAAGGGGTCTTTGCACCAAACACGGGTGGGAACAGTCCCTTCTGTGAGGAAAAGCTGAAATTCTCCAGAGCTGGAGGCCTTTCTTCTCAATGTACCTTCCAAGGTATGTTCCCCACCATCAGTGTGTACAGGCACCAAGAGTGAACTGGACCCCACGACCAGCTCCTCTATACAACAACCAAACTGCAGCCAAACACTGCTGGACAAAATCCAGGTGAGTAAGCCTGAAACAAGGAACTTTCACTGTTCTCCCTATTAAGCATTTGGCAGCTGAGCTGTCCAGACTGCTTAGTTTTCTCCATAGATCCCAAGGGCCTCTTCATGGCCCCTGTGATGACAAGAGGTATCGCGTGGCAGAGGGACAAGGAGCATTTAAGATTTTTGCAAGTGACTTGTCACGTGCACTGGGCTTGTGCTGAGAAGCCAAAGAAGTTTTGCTAGAAATCACTGGTGCTTCCCTAGTGCTCTGCCTGCTGGGTTGGCTTTTACTGGGGACACCTCTGCCTTTCAACTAGGCTTTTTTTTTTCTTCCTTTCTCTTTTCAAATGTCTTTTTACAGCAATAGGCAGAATTAGATACAAGCCATGCCTTTTGCTCTTCATGTGACCATGTGAGCCAGCCAGTGTCTGGGCATAAAGATGAACACCCCCTCGCTTTTTTCTGGACCACGATTCCAGGAGAGAGCTGGCAGCTATTAGTGAATTGCACAGGGTTATGCCTACAATAAGGCATAACCTTATTTCTAAAAGAAAAGGGAATGTGTCCATCCAGCAAGCAGAGCAATGCTGGCCTCTGCTGGCAAGCAAAGCCTCTCTATGCATTCGCCACGATGTATGGGTGCAGGGGTCCCTGCATACATGCTGTGAGGCAGCAGCTGTGAGCAGGGAAAGGTTTCTTCTAGATTTCTGGTGTGAAAGCTCAAAGCGCTTCTGGGCCATAAGTGCAGGTTATGGTGGAAAAGACAAGCAGAGAATTTCTTATGGGTGGACTTCTGGATTTTGCTTCCCAGAGAGTCTGACAAGAGCAGAAATCCCTTTCAGTTCAGTTTGCCTTTAGAAAGCTTACTCACCCAATTGGTATCTTTCTGGGGGTAACAAGGTGAGGGGTGGAAATGCTTTGTGGTGGGGACCAGTCCCATTCTTAGCTGCAGATCCCATCTAACCAGTGGTGATACCTTCATATGCTGCTTTCAACTGCTCCATAGGTTATTCTTCCCACAGCCTGTCTTTTTGTGTTATGCCAAGGATATTTACCCTGAGTTGCATTCTTAAGTGTTTTGAAAGGACTTGGGCTTTGATGTGCAGTGCTATAGGTAATGCCTCAGCCTATTACACAATCCCAGCAGCTCAGGAGGAGAGATGAAAAGCACAGGTTCAGTGCACGACTTCAGAGAATAAAATCCTGCTGGCCATGCAAGGGGTGTGAGCCTGTGAGAGTGCACTGACATTTTTCATCTCTAGCAGCATTTCAGCTGTGCCCTTCGTGTAAGAGAGACAGCCTCCAACACACCCCTGGCACTCACCATCCCATGGGGAGCCACCAGTCTTCTGAATCAAACCTTAAGCCCCTAGCTGTCCCTCGCAGTTCAAATCCCAAAACACTTCTCAGGTCTGGCCCTGCTCAGCCCTGAGCCCAGACAATTCTGGCTAGACCCAGGGGGGCAACCCAAGAATCTTGCAGTAGCAGTGGTGTGAGATCTCCTCGTGCCTATAAAGACCATGGGTTGAGAAGGCTGGTACAAACTAATTTCAGGCTTCTTAGGGTCAAAAGCCTCTCTTCCTTTCCTATTGCAAATGTCAGTGCCAGCTTTTTCTCTGGACAGGTGTTTATATGGTCTCACTCCTATCTCTGGCTTTCTGGGCTTCTGATTGAAGTGGAACTTATATTGCATCCTGGAATGGCATTAATATAGATGTGTGTCTAGACAGTCAGCTTTGAGATCTACAGAACTTATTAACTCTGAGATTTCTGATGGCTTCGTTTCAAATCAGATAATGGATGGGATGAGACAGACAGAGGGAAGCATCGCCCTGAGAAACCAGGCTAAAAGGTGCTTGGTCATGAAAGGAGATACTGTGTCATGGAGGAGAAGCAGCCTGAAACGCTGTGAGGTTTTTCTATCCTTCCATGTCACAGCACGTACCTGGGAAACACTTTCCACCTTCTGCAGGCAGCTCACACATCTGCCAGTTTCTGTACTATTTGCAATGACACATCCCTGTGTCCTGTGGTGTAGGGGACCCCTGGGGAACTGCATGTGCCATCATGTAAGAGACAGGATTTATCCAGCCGGCTGCTGAGTGCCCTCCCCTTCAGCTCAGGGGAAGCTGCCACTCTAAGGCACTTTGCAGGACCTATTTAAAGTTACAATCATTATTATCTAATCCCTGGCTTGTATAACATCCTTCTAGTTGGGGAGAAAGGAGCTATAAAGTGTGAAGGTAAATGGAAGGCCTTTCCACCCTGCCAGAGCATTTTGCCTTTCTCAGGTGATATGCTGCCTTCTCAGACTGCACCTCCTCTGTCTGTTTGAGTGTGGCTGAATGTTTCTATCAGTCAGTATTTTCAGTACTGAGGATTCATCTCTGTGCTGAGTTTGGCACATATGAGCAATTTGGTAAAAAGGAATTTTCCTTCATTAGAGAGGCAGTTCTGCTACCACAAGGGAAAAAGCAGAGTTGAAGCTGCTAAGAAAGTTAGTTCATTAAAATTTAATTCTTTTATCTAATATTAAAAACCTGAGTGCACCAAGGTCCCTAGGTAGCCAAAAGGCTAAGAGGTTTGACTCAGATTAGGCTCAACGCTTAGAACTACAGAGATATGACTCACACTAACATTAATTCTTCGTCCTTGGTATATCGTATCAGAAGCCTAGCCTGAAGGTACACTGCAGGGAGCAGAGCCCAGAAAGGAGTGGGAGTGTGTATGTGAAAAGGGCGAGCCGCTGTGGACAACCAGGTACAGCAATCAAAGGAAGAGAAAGCTGCAGCAGCGAGCACAGAGCGCAAGGAGCTGTGGTGGGGAGGAAACTCAACAGAAGCCTGGCCAGCAAGGAGCCAAGCAGGGGTGGACGGCGTCACCTGCGGCACGCTGCTGTGCGCCGAGAGGAGGGACCCGAGTGCTCTGTGAGGCATCGTAAGCCACCCTCTGCCTTCATTCCCTGATTTTTGCAGCCCAGATGATATTTCCCTTCTGTTAAGGGATAACATTCATTAGCGGTTGCCGAGCACTCAGATATTCTGCTGATCAGAGGCTTTGGTTTCCCCATGGTTTCTCTGAAAGGGTAAGCTGTGTAATTTCACCTTTCATTTTTCAAAACACTCACATCAAAGAAGATCTGAGTAATAGGGGATTCTACTTATATGCAATTTTTTTTTTGGCAGCTGTTGGTAAAAACAAGTTGTGAGGCTTTAAGCATTTGATGAAATCAAAGCAGCCTGCACGTCTCCAACTTGACTGAACACAATCAGAAGGCTGTAAAAATAAAAATACAAGTGTTCCCATGCTGTTTCAAACTGCAGTAGTTCCGCAGCCACTTAATTTCCATGAAGTCTGAGTTATTGGATTTTCAGCACAGAAGCAGCACTGGCAGCTTCTGATCTTTGAAGTTTATAGATAGGGTTGGGGCAGGAAGCAAGTAAGAAATGCCTCAAACTAAATTGAATTTCAGACTCATGAATGTGTGCAAACGACTTCCCCCATCACAAATCCTGCCTGTTTTATGCCAGAGTTCAGCTTCACCTGGTACACTTTGAGAAAAGCAAGCATTAGCTAGCTGAAGTCTCTCTTCCAGCAATGACAAAGGTCTTTACATAAGCGAACTGTGTTCAGTGACCCATAAACCAGTATGAAAAGTAAGTGTTCAATGCTCCCAGTTCTAACACCACTCATTACTCACAGTCAGTACTCGGGTCTTTCCTGGGGCAAAGTTGCATGTTTGGTGTGGATAAAAACTTTGCAAAGATCAGAGTTATTTGTGTTCCCGTGGGCAATTTCAAAGCCTCAAACTAGGAGACCACAAGCACCCTTCTCAGCCAGTCAGCCCCAGAGACAGCATCTGGAGGACTGGGAGAGGAGTAATGGCAGCACAGTGTGGAAGATGACTGCAGAGTCATCACTGGGGGCTCTGGTGCTCTGCCTCTGCCAGATGTGATGTCTGAAGAGGTAACCATCCTCCTAACTGGGCAAGGATGGGGTGCGGAGCCCTTATCCTGTGGGTAGGGAACTTGAGGCCTCACTGATGGCTCTGGAGAGTGAAGATTTGTCCCCCTTCCCCGTCCCCCACAATAATTTTCTGTATCTTTGCTTAGAACTGGCATGAGAGCAGCAACATTGCTGCTCTCGACAGTCCACCTTCAAGAGCTCTCCAACTGCATAACTCTCAGCTTCACATACCAAGGCAGACTAAAACCAGTAGCGGTCTCAGTGCATGTGCTTGGCTGTGAAGGTCCAGGGGTCTGACCCTAGGGGTGCAGAAGATTTTTCTAGAAAGATCAGTTCAGGTATAAAATGCCATCAGTCTGGTATAAAATCTTATAAAGAAGCATTCTTACTTGTTTCACTGAATGCGCTTGGATCAGAAGAAAAGAAGAGGACGTCGATCAGGTCAGAGGCTGGACCACCATGATACTGCTTTAGTGCATTTAAAGCTCTGTTAAAGAAGAAAATAACCAAGTTACACACAGAATGTGAATTCCTTCAGAGACTCCTGCGCACCTCAGGGCCCAGTGACAAAGACAACAGGCACAGATTCAACTCTTCCAAGGCTGAAAAATGTTACTCCACAACAGACTAATCCTAATTGCTGCATCCCCCCAACTCTCACACACATGCATCCCTTATGCTGGTCAGACTTCCACTTTCTGCTGTTACTCCTGTTTGATACAGGCAGACCCTGTGCTGAGCCTTCTCAGCACATTAATTCATCGGAGCTATTCACTTCTCCTGTCAGGATGGAAAAGGCTCTGCACGGAATCCAGTGAGTACCAAAGGTGATACAACATGGGACCAAAATTTGTGGGATGTGAGGTGGGAGAGGAGGGAAGAGCAGGACCATACCAGCCAGCAGGTAGATAAACTTGGGTAGATAAACACTGTAGCATAAGAGATCCAGTTGAGCTATCTCAGTATGGATTCCCTCGGTAGTTAGCAGAAAAAGAAATGCACATCCAAAAGGTGGACACCTCCCCTAAGCGGAGCTGCTATAGGAGTAAGAGGAGTAAGATAGGGAAGGAGAGAAGCCAAGCCTAGTGAAGTAAACTGAGATGTGTCAGAAGAGCTTTCCCAGAATAAACTTGGCAATTTTCTATTGGCTTTTGCACTCCTGAGCAGTAAACTGCAATCCCATGGCCCTTACTTTTTCAGCCTGTTGTAGGTGACATCGTTGGCTAATTTCAGCAGGCGGTAAGAGCTCTCGTGGTCCAAGCTCAGCATGCCATCTCGAGACTCCTCAAAGGCAACAGTCACTGCTTTGGAGGTGACACGTGTTACGATGCCGGTGGAGAGCTGTTCACCCTGGCCAGCTGAATCGTAAAGGCCCACAACGTCCCCTGCAAAGACAAGTTTGAAGCGAGAGTATGAAGCAGAGGAAACATTTTGAAGAGGTGGTCTTTTGGGGAGACCAGCAACCAAGCACGGTCCAATGCAGACAGCTCGAGCATCGTGTTTCCTGCTGAGGTCAGAATTTGTGTCAAGCCCATAATGAAGGAGAATCTCCTCCTCTTAGCTGACAGAGAACATGCAGCAAGAGGGAGCAAAAGGACAATTAGCAGTGAGAAGACACCAGACAGCAACTAACCAGCCGTCTTTATACCTCCACAGGTCATGGGGTGGAGACCAGCAGTGCTCCCCACAGCCAGAGCTGCTGGGAAAGCCACCGTGTGTTCACATAGACCTTGGGAGAACGTGACTTCTCTGAACTCTCAGGCAAATCATTTTACATCCATTTTATTTTTTAATAATAGCCAAGGAGTCTGCATGACAGTATGTACCTCCCAAATAACTGCTATGTGCCAGTCAGCAGAACCAAGACAGAGATTTTTAAGGACCCACTACAGCTTTTCACAGTCACTGTAAGATGACGAGAGTCAAATCACATAGTGTAATGATCAAATGGAGATTCTCAGCAGGATGTTTGACTAAGTTTATAACTTAGCTGGGGCTCTCATTCATTGATGACTAAATTTCAGATTTATAAACTATGGGAAGCTTTCCTCTGTAAGGTCCATCAGCTCTTACATTAAAATGCTTGCATCCCAGAACAATTTACTGCTAGGACAATGTTCTTTCTCTTTGAAGAGCACTGGCACATGCTCTCAAGGCTGAGACCCCAATCTGTAATGAGTCATCGTAATTTCAGAGGTCAGCAGCTTGGAGACCTGGGTGACAATGAATGCATGAACAAATTGTACTTGAACACACTTTGAGATAGTTCCACCATGCGACCAGGGTTCGAAACAGCCCGGTTCCCCATGATGCACCTGCTTAGCAAGCTCAGTGGTCTAGCAAATTAAACCAAGGAACTTACTAAACTAAACCAGAAGATTATCTGGTGCAGCCAGCTTCTCTCTTATAGACCAGTTTTGGAGAGTGCAAGGTAATATCCTCATTGCATAAGAAAAAGAGAAGGGTCTCTGCAGGGAAAAAAGAGAGGGCGTACTGCAGACTCACTTGGAACTACTTCACAGCCAAGCCCAGGTTCTTCTGAGGGGCAAGCCTGCGCAGCTGGCTACAGCACGGCAGAGCGCGTCCTCACCTTCCTCAGGGACCAGCAGCAGCACAGTGCTGGCACCCCTGGTCATGTTTCCATGGAAGGGGTGGCAGGGGGTGAGACACAAGTGAAAAGGGCACTGGCTGATGTGCTGGTGAGTCTGTATTTCTCTAGTACCTTTATTTCCAACAGAAAACAAGGCGTGTCAACTAATAATGGTACTTACTTCACCTCTTCCCCTTCCTTGCTAAAAATAATAGTACAGGGAAGGGAGGAAATAAGGTAACTTGCGAAGGAAAAGGAAAATCCACTTCCCATTTTGCAATTGAAGCGTGACAAATGAACACTTTGCCTTATACAAAGAATGCCACAAAATCTTTAATGACAAAAGACCAAGGCTTTGTTTTTATTGATTCAGGCAGAGGACAGTCAGCTCTTTAACCACCGGCACTATTTCCTGGTGCAGCACACATGTCCGCAACAAGCTGAGGGAAAAAGAGACTGTTACACTCTAGATTCATCCTGTAGCCATAACACTTTCTCCCTTCCTTTTTTGCATCACTTTCTCAGTCTTTGCAAATATCACGGTAGAAAGCTGTTAGGAAAAAGACCTTGGTCATCTCTTTCTTTCCCTACCTCACACCGACAGGAATATCACTTACCAGGCCCGAAGCTGTTATAGGGCAGCTCAGCATCTGAATCGTATTTTCTAGGCTGAAACGTCACGAGCAGCCGTCCGTAGAGGCCGGTTCTCTGGTTGGCAGCTTGGAGCTTTAGCAAGCAGACGCCTCTGCGCTGCAGCTCCTTCAGGGAGATGCTTTCCTGCCAGGCCCTGGAAACCACACGCAGGTGTGAAAACCACGTGCTGGACTGAAGGTGAGGTTTAAAGCTTCAGAAGATGAACCAGAAAAAGACAGGGGGAGGAAATGGAGAAAAAGGGGAAGGGCAATGGCAAGAGAGACATGAGCTTCTTGAAGTGTTGGTGTTCATGATCGCTTTGCAGTGATGTAACTAGACTGGCTTCCACAGGCTTATTTTGGGAAATGAGGCGATGCACACAGAGCCTGCAGATGACATCTGTTTCTGTGTGTTTTCCTCTCTCCTGTCTGGGTATGAAAAGAAAGGACCAGCCTAGTTACCCAGGTCCCATGACCCAGGAGACAATAACCCGAGTTTTCTCCTATCAGATATAAGTGCTAAAATGGAAGATTTGCTATTTTCTACAAGAAGTTGCACTAACCTCTAACAAACACCACGCACATGGCTGCAGAGGGAAGAGGAGCGGGGGCCTGGCGCAGCCTTGCAGGCAAAAGTGACCCTGGCACAAACGCAGGCAGGAGCTTTGCAGGCTGCTGTCCTCTGGGGCCACAGCGTGCTGCAGCAGCTGTGTTTGCTCCACAGTCTCACCTGGGGTCGTGGGGGCGCTCTTTATTTTTTTTATAGGTCGAAACAAAAAAGAAAATCCCCCAGGTTTATTTTCTTTAGTCCCTCAGTTTGGCCTGTTTCCTGTAGGTTGGTTTGTAAGGAGCTGAAGTGCCAGGGAACTTCAGGCAGCTGCGGAATGACCTTGTCCCGTCTCCTGTCACCCTCCGTCCTCGGGGCTGTGTAAAACCAGGTCTCACTGGCACGAGAAGTGGGGGTGTCTGCGCCCCCCCCATGGCCCCACATAGCCCAGGGCACCTGGCGATGCCACGGCCTCCCTGGCCCCACCACCCGCACTCGTCGGGGGGGGTTTGGTTTCAGGGTGAGCGCAGGGACAGGAGGGCTCCAGCACTCCCCCGGGCTCTGGGGGAGGAGAAGGGGAGCCCCAAGGTGCTGCTGGGTCCTATGAGTGACTGAGCTATGTGGGCCTGACCCTAAAAGGTCCAAGCACCATTCCTGCAGTGATGAGCTGCTCCTATAGGGGTGAGTCCAGCCGGGTTTCCCACAGGTTAGAGCAGGCCCTATAGGGTGGGTTTCCCATTGGGCTGTGCTGGTTATATAGGAGTGAGTGCAGCAGCATTTCCTATAGGCAACAGCAGGTTTCCCACAGGTGACAGGAGGTCCTATAGGCCTGAGCCAGCCGGATTTTCTATAGGTGACAGCAAGCCCCTTAGGCATGTCTGTCAGCGTTTCTAAAGGTGACAGCAGCCCCGGTGTGGGTGTCAGCTGCGTTTCTATAGGCGACAGCAGACCCCACAGGGGCGATCCCAGGCCCCGCCTAGATCGGTGGGTCGGGGCGGCTATAGGTGACAGCAGGCTCTAGAGGGGCGAGTCAGCAAGGTTCCCCACCCCGGGCCCGGCGGTACCTGCTCTCGGCGAGCTCGGCCTCCCGCTCCTCCCGCAGCAGCTCCAGGAACCGCTCCGCGGCCCCAGCCGCCATGGCCCCGCCGCCATGGCCCCGCCCACTCACCCGCGCGGCGCTTCCGCTTCCGGGGCGGGGAGCGGCGGGGCCACCGCAATGGCGGCGGCCGTGGCGGCGGGGGCTCGGCGGCGGGCGGCCGGTGAGGCGGGACGGGCCGGAGGAGGAGAGGGAGGGAGGGGGCGTTTGCTGTGGGAGCAGACTGGGGGGGTTCGGGGGCCCTGGCTTCCCGCCGGGGTTCGGGCTGTGTGCTGGGTGAGTGGAGCCTTGGTGAGCTCCGGCTTCTGCGGGCGAGGTGGGTAAGTACGTTCGGCTTTAGGGGGTCTTGCTACTCCCTCGCGTCGGTCACGCTGTGGATGGTGGGTCAAAAAGGGAATGTTCCTGCAAAGAAACTGTGCGCGGTCTGGCTTTTAATTAGGCACCTTGTTCCAGGAAAGGGGTTGTTATCCCTGGGATAACATAGGGATAAATCCCTGAGCATGCGGTTTTTTGGCCTTTGTCTCTTTCTGCTAATTAAGTGTGTTCACGGCCAGGTCCCTTCCAAAAAATGCTGAAACTACACTCGAAGTGTAATTTAAGTTGCAGTAAACCAATCGTTCTTCAAAGATTTCTGTATATAACAACTTCACTGTTTCAGTGAACATTAGCTCATGTATATATAGCTTAGAAAAGCACGAACACATTTTTCTAATTCCCATCTTCTATTGCTGTTACTTGTTTAGCTATGTGGCTCCTCTGCTCCCCTTGTCCAGAAGGAAAAGGCGTGTTTGGGATGGTGAAAACCCAGACACAGGAGCGTTAAAACCAAATCTGCTGAACCTGCCCCACTCTTCCAGTTCACCGTGTTTCACCTGGCAGTGGGGTGTCTGCTCGGGAGCTACAGGGCCAGTGAGTTACTGGCAGTAGGCTTTGTCTTCTCTTTTGGGAGTGGAACCTTTGTAAGGCTGAGTAGAAGTTGCGGAGAATCACTGTGTGAATGTTGTGTAATAGCTCCCCTCCCCTTTTTGGAGGGCTGGAAAGGATCCTTCCAGCAGCACCAGCAAGTGCTCAGAATGAAGAGCGTGCACCACAGTGTTCTTCTGACCACCTCTTCCTCCCCTCTGCCTTTCGGTCACGTTGTTTTCCAAAAGAGATAGGATGACCCAGTGTAACCATGTGTCTAGCTGCAGGCGTCACTTGAAATGACTATATTTGCAGTGGGAGGCTTTTCTCATGCTCTCCTGCAATGCTGCACACAACTGATGGGTCCCTTCTCTTGTCAGGTGACTTGTTTTACTTCCCCCTCCATCTTTGCCTGTCATGATAAAACTGAACAAAGATTTTACAGGCAGAAAAATGGTACCACGAAGCCAACCAGCGCTGTGACGCTTCAGCATTGCTGTAATGCTGCCTCACCAGGGACTAAAGGTGCAGCAGTTGCTGCTTATTTTTAATTCTTTTTCCCTCTCTCCCGTTTAGCCTTCCTGCTTTCATCTGCAGTTCGGCACCAGAGTTCCCAGAACACATCACTGCAGCAAGGGTAACGTCAAATGACTTTCTGCTTTGCTTTTTGCCCCTTGAAATGCTGACCTTGCTGGGGGTGGGGAGGGCAGCTGGTTTTCCCTCTGAAAGGAGCCTTGTCTGAGCCCTTTGTCAGTCTGTCACTTCCCAATAAATTTTGGACTCTCTGCCTGCCTTCAGGCACATTTGCCAGAAGGATGCTTCTGTTGCTTTGTGAAATTAAGCAGCTGAATCTAGAGACAGATAATAAAAGGGCCGCAGTGTGGGCTCAGCCTGTGGGGTAGACAGCAGAGAAGCTGCTCAAGTCAGCACATTGCAAACTCCTCAACTGCAGAAGGGCCTTCAGCTGACCCTCCTCTGTTTAGTTTCAGGTAGTCTGTTCCTCAGGCAAGGTTCATCTCCTGCCTGGAGTCTCGGATAGCTGATAAATACTGAACTTGCCCTGCAGTCTTCATAAAACAAGATTAACAGCTCGGGCACTGCAGGACACCGAGCCAGGACACTCCAGGCTTCATTTGTTTCAGCACTTTGAGAGCTGCTTGTTTGTGTCTTTATTTTGTTTCCTCTGCTGGAATCTCGGGCAAGCCAAAGTTGCAGGTGGTGCTGCTGCTTGCTTTAGCCAGAAGGGGACACTGCAGGAAGCGAGAAGCCCCGTGAGCAGCCTCGGGGGAAAATGGCAAGCTGTCGGCATTCCCTGTGCGCTGCTGAAGGGTGCAGCGGGGTGGCCTCTTCCCGCTGGTCCTCAGGCACCTGGGAACACAGTTTGGATCTCTGCCTCTGTCACACAGCGCTCAACGTCGCTACTAAACCCCACAACAGAGCCCTGAAGCCGTGCTGCTTGTGGTTTACTTATTTGCTCTCAAGACCTTTGGGTTTCTGATAAAGCCCTTCGAGAGGTATTGCCAGGCATTACAGAGTAAACCAATGAAACACAACTGCTCTTGTGTTAATTTTGTCTTCTTTCACTAGCATCTAATGGTTTTTCCTGAATGTTTGATGCAGTTTGTGCATCCTGTGTTATTTAGAGAAGGTATGGATCTCAGCGCACAGGAAATTCTGAACTTCCCATTTGTGATGGAGATGGTATTTACTGAGCAGCACCTTTCTCTTCTCTTCAAATTTCAGAAAACAGTACCTTTCTAGTCATCTCATCAAGATCCAGGGTGAATCTCCCTCCTCTTTAAATCTAAAATTGTCTTTGTGGCATTGTAGACTCTTGCTTAATAAGGAACTATAATCTGATGCCTTTTGGTCATGTGTCTCTTTCTGAGTAAAGGCATTTGGCACCTCTCAGGATAATCTCCGAGTGCTGCAGGATGGGCCTCATGCCTGCTCTCCCTGCCCCCCCTAGACGTGCACTGTAGTTCTGTTGAAAGCACTGCATGTGCAAAATACTGTCCCTGGTTAGAGTGGTGCTTTTCTCTCCAGTTCTTTGGGAACAAATCAGTAGGTTTTTTTAACTGGCTGTTGTTCAGGGATGTAAACAGCTGCCTCTGCTCTTCCTTGTTGTTGCTTCTTGTCCTAGAGATCTTGAAAAACAGCTAATTATAAGCAAGTGACATTTGCATTTTTTCCACTCAAACTCACACTGTGAGTTTCGTGTAGTGTTTCATTTTTGAATTAACACCCCGTGGCACGTTTGAGCAGCGTTAATTGTTGTTCAGCTCTGATGTTTTAAATGGGGCTCTTGTGATTTAGTGCTGTCTGTGCCACTGTCAAGAACGGCAGTGTGTGCATGCAAATACCTGCGGTACTGACTGTACAGGGCTTGAGGCAGTTGGGAATTAGTTCAGTTTGGAGGCAGAGGATCCCTCCCAGTGATAATCTTGAGAAAAGCAGAAGGAATCCACCATGACAGCTGATGAGAACATGTCGCTGGCTGCTAGCTGAAACACCCGTGGCAGTTTTCAGTCTTTTGTTCTGTATCCATACCATAGCCTGCTTGCCTTCAGGCCCCCAGTTTATTCATTAAACTGAAGTGTCACATACTGTGATAGCCATACACCATTTTCAGTAAATAAGAGAGCAACATCTATGTATAGAAAGTAGAGCAGGCTTCAGGTAAGATGTCTTCTGCACAGAACTTGTCATTCAGGTGCTGGTGCAGTTTCAGCTGTGGTTGCTCCCACAGTTATATTGGTGCTGAATGATCCTAAAGGGACACCTCTGATGCTCGGGAGGCCCCTGCGCTCGTCACCACAAAGGTCTTCGGTGACTGATGCAACGTCTTGAAATGGAGAGGCTCTTGTCTTAGCGGTACAGTTGCAGAGTGTTTGAAAAAGAGATGATGTTAAAGCAATTCTCTATCACGACAGTGGAAGCTACCCTGTCAAGAAGAATAAGGATTTAATTTGCACCTTTTAGCAAAATATCTTGGTGCTCAGAGTCATCATGAGGAACAAGGCTTGTGCTTGGCTGGATGGGTGTGGGAAAGTGCACTCTCCCACTCCTTTCTGTGGTCTACTTGAACCAAGATAAGCTTGGGTCTGAGAAGTTCCCCTCCAGGGTGGTGGTGTTGATTGTAGACAGTGGTGGAAATGCCACAGAAGAGGCTTTTGGGCTAAATGTGGTGTTAAATGCTGAATTGCACTGGGAGCGGGAGAAACCAGTTATTACTGCCATTCAGGGAATGCAGCTGTAAGTGACAAAAGAAGAGCAGCCTCAACTCTCCTGTAAAGAACCCAGCTGTGGTCTGAAGGCCCTCCATAAACTATCCATTCTAACAGAGAAGAGCTTCAAAAAATAGAGGAAAAAAAGGACGCTGTGAGTCATTCATGGGTAGCACTCAAGGTTGGCTTAAGAATGCTCATTAGCCCTTCTCCCCATCAAAGGCACGTGGCCTCCTCCGGATGCTCCCCAGCAGGGTAACTTCAGGGCTTTGTGCTCTGTGCTGAAGTGGGTGGAGGAGCGTTAACAGCGTTCTGTGGTGGAAGTAGCTTAGCAAGAAAAACTTAGCAAGAGCCTTTTATCTAAAACTCAGGTGCAAGAAGGGTTTAAGGTAGGTCTGTTTCCATTGGAGTTGGTCACAAAATTCCAGTCCGTAAAAACAAGGCGGTGGAAAGTCACTGGTGGTTGCTGAGCTTGATCACCACTAGCACATCCAGCTGCAGGTCTCAACATCAGGAACAAGGGATAACCTAGCCTGGGTCAATTTTCAGTTAATCTTCAATCTGTTTCTTTCTGCACTCTTCCTTTGTTTCAATCTATTTCAAATAACTTTCTGAATTGGGAAGTTAAAAAAGAAAAAAAAAATCCATTTCCCCATACTAAATTGTATGATAGAATGGGAGTAAAGCAAACTGACCACTGAGGCATTTACCTATTTTTCTTAAAGTTTGCTGCAACTCATGGTGGGTCTAGATGACATTGAGCCCTGGGAGCAGCGACTATGTATGGTAGAGCATTTGCAGGTTGAGCTTGTAAATGAGACCCAGTGTTTCCTGCATGTTTTTGAACAGCCTTCTGATAGAGGTTGCAGCTTCAGCACTTTGAAGCATTTCTTGTCCTACTGGAGTGATTTTGCCAGGATTGGGAGGAAGGTCTGGGGAT